ACTGACAGCAAATGTGGCTTAGTTGAAGATCTACATTATTTGGTGTAATTAAGCTGCCAAATGATGACTTTATCCCTTTAACCTGTAAGAGTGATTCCTCCTAACAATGTTACACCTTAATGACACATTAAGATCACGAATAAAGGAAAGAAGAAGCTCTTGCTTGTTAGACAAATTCTCTTTGTCAGCACCTGAGAAAATGTATAGTGAACAGTATCGAGAGTAAGCTAAAAGATGTTAGGGTGTAAAGGGTAAAAGACAGTTGAGCCTGGAACTGTGTTTCTTAAAGAAAATTAAAACTTTTACAAAGGATAAAAAATATCCAAAAAAAAATGGAATCAGTTTTAATATAAGTTAACAAAGTTAATGAAGAATCCATAATCTCCAGTAAACTCTAAACAACAGCCCTACAGAGAAGACTATCTGCATACTGTACTTGACTCAAAGTGATGAGAGCAAACAATAGTACAAAATATCAATATAACGTGCATCATTCAGAAAAACATACCTTGTATAAGGACTGACGTTGTGTCTGAGGAATTGCCAACAGTATTTGTGACGAAGCAAGTGTAATTTCCCTCATTATGTGTAGTACTTGATAAAATGAGCAGCTGGGATTGACTTTCAGTGAACTGTGTTACATTCACCGATCCATTACCAATACCACTACCATTTCGAGCAATCACATTTCCATCTTTAACCCATTGTACTTCCGACACCGGCGGCGAAGCATTGTACTGGCAATCCAGATGGATCTGTTTGTTTATTTCAACAAACTTTGGTTCACTGCCACTTATTTTGACATCTGCTCTAACTGTAATCATAAGGATTTTTCAAGTTAGTCACCTCAAACGTGTACAGTACATGTATTTGAAACATTTCTATGAATTATGTGTTATATTTTTAGACAATTTAGTGTGTAGTATCCCTATTAATTTTTACTTGTTGTTTGTAAATGTATATTGATGAGCCCCCAAGGAAATACACCAAATCAAACCACGCTTTAGGTTATCTGCTTATATCATCCAAATGCAAAAGATGTGGCCCATTATTTCCAAATATTTCCTTTTATGCAAGTTTTACCAAACTGGTACATGTATACTAAAAATGTTTACACATGACACACCCAAAATAAACGTTAATGGCAGATGACGGAACAGTACTAAAACCTTTGCTGAGTACATATGCACTTAGAACCTGCATTAACCTTTAAATCCCAATATCTATTTTTTTTTAATTCTTCTCTCTAGCTATTACACAGTTCCTTGTAAGTTACATGTGATTGCGAGAATTTGGTTCTAGATCAAGATAAAAATTTCTGGGCCCAGTCGTTCAAAGAGTGGATAACACTATCCAACGGATAAACCACTTTCCATGGGATAACTGCTAAGAAAAAGTACTACAACATCCACTAGAGAGTAATTTATCGAGTGGATTGCGTTATCCAACCTTTGACCAACCGGGGCCTGCATGATAAGCATTGGTATTCTTTTACACCTATTTGTTGAAAAACATATTCATACTATAGGGTGAAGTTAAATAAATCACTTCTTGGAGATAAAGGATTAGCAGGCACTCTAAACAATACCAAGCAGACATTACGAGTTCCTTAGGGTGTGCTCTCAGCAGATACTTACATGTACAAGGGTCTCAGGTACCCGGTGTGCTGACTTTCTGCAGGTTCCACCTAACCAATATTAGCAAGAGTGCTTTGACATTATATATCTCATATATTGCAGTCTGAAATAATACTCACAGTTGACTATCAGTTTTCCTGGGGCTGAAGTAGTGGTATTCACACTGTTATTTGCCACACATCTATATTGGCCTTCATCTCCTCGCAAAATATTGGTAATTGTCATACTTGAAGTGTTTCCCTTAAAATCAGAAACATTAATCCTTTGATTTTCTGATATATCATGTCCATCTTTTGTCCATTTCACATCTGGCGTAGGATTTCCATAAACTGTGCAATCCAGAGTTAAGTTAACATTTTGCTCTTCTATTACTGTCACATTCTGCGGGCTGCTGATAAATTCAGGTGGAACTAGAAAAAAAGGCAGTTTAGTCTGATTGTTGTTTTGGTCTTTAACTCAACTGGCAACATCAAATACATCCATAACCTTCTTGCAGAGGCCTGCAGTGTTTATGGTTTAACTAACAAGAGAAATTTGAAGGGCTTTCTAGCCTACTCTCATTTTAACAAACTGTCTTGAATTTCGAGCACATCACACGTTTGTCTTTCAGTGGCCTTCTGTATGTGTCGTGAACTTGTAGAAGTGTGCAATGCATAATGGGTCCACTGACACATACATGCATTTTGTTTTCTTGAATTTTCAGTCCAATTTGTGTGCGTGAAATGATCACATGTGCAGTTGTTTAATTACAAACAGCAAAATAACAAGGGTAGAAAAGTTAGTGGCAATATTAATAAATAAACAAACAAAAAACACTGTTCACAAAGTAGCCTGTACTTATTAGAAATGAGCATGCGAGTAAAGCCCTATCTTACATGGACACCTATTTGAGGAGGGAGGGGCGGGGGGTAAGGTTGCTGATCCCGTTTCAAGCACAAATTTTAAAAAATTTGATCCGTCACATCCTCTTTAAACAGTATTTCAAGCATCACGGCTTTGAAAGGGAAAATTTCAAATCTCACTTAGTATAGTGAAAAACATCCTATTTAGTTTTTTCTGTCCTACCCGCGTGATATTGGTTAAGTTTACGTCACCAACGCATATTTATAGTGTATAATTGCTACGGCCATTATAGAGATGTGCGCGCTCTGATTGGTCGAGGATTGCGTCATATCTCGCTAAAATGACCTCGCGCAAGGTGATTATAGCAGGAGCGCTTAATTTCAAAACGGCCGCCTCGCGTTTTTCCAGTGCTACGGAGGAAGTGTCAACGCCCCTAAAAAGAATCAAATCCCACAAGGACAAAAGATGCCATGTAGTTTAGAGTAGCAAAAGAAAGGTATGAATTTTTCGGTGATTGATGTTAAATGAATCATCAAATTCTAGTGAAAACTGGTTTCTTATCTCGATACGAGTACTCAAAACAATCAAAATAGAATGGCTTTAAGATCAAAACTAATATTTACAACAGAATTCAAAAGTACCTATATTACAACAGTTATTCGACTGCGGCGATAGTTGATATGTATGGTTTGTAGTATGTGCTCGTGGGAAAGAGAAGGTTTTGTGTTCAAGTAGTTTTATCAGATACCTCACGTTTTTCCTTCAGGCTTACACATCTTGTAAGTTTTATTTTCATTTCATTTCGTCTTGTTTCAGTTCACTTATTCATATTAGATCGCTTTTCTTTCTTTTCGTCAAAACAGATTGCAGCCGGTATTCCATAACTTGCCTTTTTCGAAAAACCCAACCATCGCATATTAACTTTGAGCTTGATCAAAAGTACGCATCACATTTAAACCTGTACTCCCATCTGTGATCTCAATGAAAATCTACTCTCTTGTCTGTGTGTCTGTTCAAAGGCACATAACTTACGGCTCTTCTGGAAAGGGAAAGACTCAATTACGTCTCCTGTTTCCCCCTACACTTCTTTAGTGCTCTAACCGCCTCCTGTGTGCTTTGCAAAAGCACATAGCACAGTCGAGGCTATTTATTTGATAAATATAGACACAAAGAGATCTCTTTGTGTTGTCACCTATGCTAAGATTATGAAATATTGAAACAAATTTTAAATTCACTTCATGGCACCCGTTGTTTTTTTCATGACAAAGAAATTAAGAATATGGGAGCGATCTTCGCAATGAACACTACTTAAGCAGTGGTGGAAAAAAACCTGAAAAAAAAAAGAAAAAAAAAAAAAGAACCAGGACTGCATTAAAGTGTTTCGTGCTGGTCTGGGCTTTTTGTTTACTTTTTGTTTAAGCTCTATTTTCACTACTGTTCAAGTAGTGTTCATTGTAGCGAAGATTGCTCTCATATTTATTTCATTATCCGCAGTTCACATAGACGATTTTATATAATCTTACAGTCAAATAAATTTTGTAAGTTACTTACATTGTACATTTAGATCTCCTGGAGATGATGTTATGTTGCCAACACTATTAATAATCACACATCTGTATTGTCCCGAATCCGATCGATGAACATCTGTGATTGTCAAATTGTGCTTGTTGTTCAGTGACGACGCTGTTAGTCGTTGATTTACTGTTATGTTCAGTTTTTCCTCGTTCTTCGTCCAAGTAACTTCTGGTGAAGGATTTCCATCTACCATACAACTAAACACAACATGTTCTCCCTCAACTATGGTGACATCCTTTGGATTTTCCACGATTTCAGGTGCAACTTGGAATTTAAAAACAGAAGTGTTACGTTCTGTTAACTCAAATAAACGAATTTCAAAAGCTACCGGCTTATTTCTTTGTATATCTCAAAGTCCTCGTCATTTTTTTGTTGTTTTTTTGGATTGTCAAAGCATAAATCTTAACCAGTGTGAAAGACTATAGGATTATTTCAATTCTTCTTATTTTTATTTTTATGCTTATCTTGTATATATTTCATCATCTAACTAACGATAAATGAGAAAACATAATTTTTTATTTCTGCCAAGACCCAGGAATGCTATGTCATCAGTGATAATGAGCGATGTTTAACGAAAAGTTCTAACATCTATGGCGTCCTTGTCGTCATTCAGATGAAGCTGACAAGATTGATAGCACAACAATCTGCCTTCTCACCACGAAACTGCCGAAAATTACCCAAATACGGGACCGAACGAGATTTCTTGAAGAATAGGAAAAAATTACGCAACAGGGAATTGAAATAACAAGCCAGATGTGTTTACGAATACTGGGCGCGTACATTCAACTTTCGGTCCTGGGCAACTAATGAAAATTCGAAACACAAAGATAAACATTTTGTTTTTTTGCATAAGTTGCGACACCAATGGTATCATAAATTTTCTTAGTATTCAGTTCTCATAAGTAAACGTTTGTGGTATAAAAAAATGTCTGATTTATACTTGACATTAACTCAGTTTAAGACTGAATGGTGATTCCTAAGGTTGTTGCTTTCAACTCCGCGGAACCCATCGCTGCTTCCCCCTTCACAATCATTTGTGCCAAATACCTTTTAAATCCTATTAACTGTACAGAATTTCTCCTTCCAAATTAGGTAAAACAGAAAAGAATTACTGGAGCACTTACACTGTACGTCGACTTTAGCAGGATTTGAGAGATCATGTCCAAGGCCGTTCTTGGCAACACATCTGTAATTTCCGCTTTCCGATCTGTTAATACTCGCTATAGACAGTGTCTTGTTGTCTCCTGAAAAAGTTATCCCTTGGGTGTCATTTAAAGGAGATCCATCTTTGGTCCATGATAGTGTTGGTGGTGGATTTCCGGTCGCGTTACAAAATAAGGTCATGGGGAGTCCTTCTTCTATTGTAAAGTTCTTAGGATGCGTAATAATTTCAGGCCGATCTATTAAAAAAAAAATTATTACTAAAAAGAATAGATAAATAAACCAGAAGCATAACCTTAAGCAGTTCTACAATCGATCAAATAATTTTTTCATTCCTTTTTTTTTTTGTGACAAATAAATCGCTAAACGTTCCTTTAAGCAAGAGAATTCCAAAGAATTTCTAGAAAAGCCCACTCTCTTCTTCTGCCAGTTCGTTCATACATTCCTGAGAGAGATATGTCTTATTTAAGAGATCTATCTTATTTAATGGGTAAACTAGAAACAGCTTGTCGTTCACTCAAACAGAATCAGGCCCTATCTGGCTTCTAAAGGCAACGTATCTGATTTGTAATAGGTAATGCAGGTAATTGTCTTTCCATCTCTAGGATTACGAGGGACTGTTTGGACCCCTATTTTAGAATGTTGTAACACAACCCGGAAATTTCTTTTACGCGCAATTCTGTTTATTTATTTATTTTTTTGGTTCAACTTCATTTCTCTCGACCTGAAGTTGGTCTATAACTATCGATAACGCTAAAAAAGGCAGGTCTTTGAGATTGGGTATAGCTCGACTATAGTACGATTTCATGACTTAGAAAAGCAAACTTATTCTGTACTTACAAAGCACGTTTATCACAGAGCGGCCAGAAGTGTCATTTCCAACCCTATTTTTCACTAAACATCGGTAATCTCCACTGTCTCCTCTTTTCACATTTGTTATTGTCAATTCTTGAGAGTCGTTGGACAAAATGATCCTGGAGTTCTCGTCTGCTGTTATGACAGATCCATCAAACGTCCAGGATATGTGCAGGATAGGGCTTCCTGTAGCGTTGCAATACAACTTGACGGTGTCTCCTTCTTCAGGGGCAGCACTTTTTGGCTGAGTAAGGATGGAAGGCTTTACTGTATTGGGGAAAACAGAAAAGAAACTAAGTCTGAAGCACTCCACTATGTTTTCAATGTTGTAAACAATCTACATTTCCGCTACATTAATCATTGAAGAAATTTCTCATAGACTTCATAGGAAGTCACGAGGTGCTTTAAGATTATGCAACCCTGGAAAAATTAAAAGAAATAGTAACATTTCTGCTCTGATCAAACCTAAAGTAAAATATTTTACTTATCTGAGGTGTACATTATGTATATTCACCCATGCCCCGGTGCTGGGACAAATTACAATTTGTCACACAGAATAGAAGAAAAAAAACATCCTTCATCTTAAAAATGTTTAAAAGTTTATGGGCAACGGAAACGGTTACAGGCAATGATTATTGGTAATTCCAGTAGGTTGTAACCGTCTCTGAGAGTAGCTTATCATCTATCTCATTAAAAATTGGGATGTCCCAGCACACATCAAGAAGTCCCCGTTACCAATAAAGTAACTCGGAATTCCTGCGCACACCTGCGTACACAGCTGCCTATCTCTTTAATATGCACTTTATAGACAGCCCTAGAGCCTCGTGCGAAATCTTGCTCTCGGTATCCGGTGATCTCACATTTCTTTTAATTAGACCTTAAAAACTGTGTTCATTTCTTCGACGTCTGTGTGGAGAAATCCCAGCTTATGGCTGTCCTACCCTAAAACACGGGTTAATGAGAATTTGTCAACAGCTCTTACACACCTTCGACAATGATAGATGTCGAGTCTGATGAACTGTTAACCATATTTGTGACATTGCAAGTGTAATTCCCACTATCAGCCACGATAGCTGTGGTGATCGACAACTGTATGAGGCTTTCATTGAAGTGCAGAATATTCAATCGGGAGTTGTTGATCACTTTCGTGGAGTTTGTTGAAATCACCTCTCCATCTTTTATCCATTGCACCTCAGTCACAGGCGGTAGGGCCTTGTGCCGACATGTTACCTTGATATCGTCGCCCTTAGCCACAATCTTCTCTTTATCACCATCAATTGTAACTTCTGGATCAACTAAAATGTAATTTAATGATTGTAATTGTATCATCATCATGGGCTTTTATTTATTTATTTTTTATCTTATGTGTATAGATGATATAACTTTCCGAGCATAATTGGTATCATATGAAAATCATACACTAGAAGTTATGAGTCTGCAAATTCTAATAAGAGGTTTTCTGGATAATGCCGAATTTGTGAAAATAATATACATGTGGACTGAAAGGTTTATGAAGGAACAAGAACAAGAAATGGAGCAGCAAAGAGAGAAAATATGTCAATTACAGAGTAAAATTTCAGTGGATAATATTGATGTATTGGCGCCAGTGGCCAACTTATACATCCATCCATCGAAGTACAAAATAACTTTTTAAATTAATTAACTGATTAGTTAAAGACAAATCCAGAGCAAATTCCCAAACCACAAAGATTTGTAGGGTTTGTAAAAATAATAACCTGAATTACTTATGGACAACAATTAGAAAAAAAAAAAAACCAACCAACAAACCAAATAAAAGAATATTCCACACTCGCACGTTTAACAGTAAAAATTCTGTTAGACTTACAATGTACTGTTAGGGTTGCTGAAGATGAAGTCACAGTATCCAAACTGTTATTAGCAACACATTTGTATTGTCCTGCATCCGATTGTTGAACATTTGATATGATCAATCGGTGGTTTCCATCATTGGAAGAGACTCTAAGTCGCGCATATTCAGCCACATTCAATTCCACTCCATTTTTTCCCCAAGCAACATCGGGTGTAGGGTACCCTGCTACTACGCAATTGAACACAGCAGTTTGTCCTTCCACTTCCGTGGTATCCCTTGGAGATTGGGAGATTTCAGGGGCAACTATCAATATAAATAATGAAAAATAAATTGTTTCCTACAAAATCAAACATAATTTACTAAATGTAGTGCGACATGGTGGTTAGAGCGCTGTATCACATAAGAAAGCAAATGAAACCGACTTTCCTAAATATTCTTTACCAACGATGAATTTTAAGTATACAACTATTTATATTTTGATCGATCCATATTTTTTAGTCGTGTCGTAAACCATAGTTGAACTCACATCGGACAGTCACTATGGCAGCGTTGGAGGTAGCATTTCCAACCTTGTTGCTCGCCACACACCGGTATGCTCCGTTGTCTTTCCTGCTCACATTCCTTATTGTCAAATGCTCTTTGTCTGTTGACAAACGGATCCGTACGTCTTCATTTGGATTTATAGAAGATCTATTTTTCGTCCATGATATTGTCAAAGAGCTTCCAGTAGCGTTGCAAAAGAAAGTCAAGTTCTCTCCTTCTTTGACCGGATCAGCTTGTGGGTGCGTCTCGATAGCAGGCGTCACTGTAGAAATGCAAGAAAGTATTTTAAACTTATGAAATTTGTCTATCATTCGTTTTTTTCCGTATCCAAACAGTTTAAATATGTGTTCTTGAGCTGGTTCCTAAGCACATAACTAAGAACTAGTTGGGGTCTGAAATGTAGGAATGTAAAACACTATTATCTTTTCGCAGGAGAATAAACCAATAATAAAGATGCCACTATTTTAACATCAGTGCGACATTTTACAAAGTGTTTGCCACAAAGACTCCATATATGCTATTTTCTGAGTCAAATTGAAGTAGAGGGGTTACAAAAGAATATGATTTTTACACGACTAAAAGGCTCCGTGACCATAAAGATCGAGCTCCTCGTCTTGGTCCTTAACGACCAGGAGGCAAACAAACAAACAAACTAAAAATCTCTTCGGTAGCTGATTTTTTTAATCCTAAATGAGATAACTAACGCCGAGTGATTGCTTTGGGAAATTGTATTTTTGTGTTTATTCATAACGGAGCATACCTTGAACAATAATCAATGTCCAATTCGAGGAACTACCAACAACATTAGTGACATTACAAGTATAATTTCCAGCATCTTCTAAGGAAACTGTGGTGATCAACAACTGAGCTTGGCTTTCATTATGATGTGAAATAGTCGCTCTTGACCCATTTGAGGGAACGCTGAGGGTTGATGCAATCACATTCCCATTATTTAGCCACTGCACTTCAGACGCGGGAGGCAAGGCGTTAAACCTGCATGTGAGCTGTAAATCTGTGCTGTTGGCTACATAATGTATTTGATCTCCGTCAATTGTCACCTCTGGTGCAACTGAAATTTGATAAAATTTTATAAAATCACTTTTCTCTAATTCTTACAGTTAGAGTTAAATACGGAGTAACGGTATACTAGCTACGTCCTTTATAAACTTATGAACTGAGGAGGAGGAAAGGAGGATATGAGAGCTGGAAGATGAATTTGACGATGCTGTGAAAATATGTTTCCTTCAATTCTTAGCACATATCTTTACAGAATCGCCATCCAAAACTTAGATGTCAAGTTATTTTGGTCCGTTTTAAAATCCTTAGCAATGTACCACCAAAGGTTGACTGGCTTTACGAAAACCTGTATCTATGGTATTTGTGGACAACAACGCTGAAGACACAATTAAACATTCAGTAATGCAATGCTTCGGAGATAAACTACTTTTACACTCACATTGCACTGTAAGAGTCGAAGGAAATGACTCAGAGGTCTGCAAACTGTTATTAGCGACACATCTGTATTGTCCTGCATCCGATTTTTGAACATCTGTTATTTTCAAAGTGTGATTTCCGTTCTTGGAAGAGACACTCAATCGTAAATTTGCTATTGAATTCAATTCGACATCATTCTTTGTCCAAGCAACAGCAGGCGTAGGGTATCCAGCCACCAAGCAACTTAATACAACAGTTTGTCCTTCTATTTTCGTGGTATCAATTGGAGGTTCGGAGATTTCAGGCCCAACTGATATATTAAAAAAAAAACATAAAAAAATGAATAAACACACATTAGAATTGCAATTCGAAGCAATATCAAACGTATTTCACAAAATATTGCACCACTTCCTGCTTCAAATGAAGGACTGTGTCCTTTAATAACCATGCAGCTGTGATTTGAATAAAAGCTAAGCGACCAAACAAATCAACCTTTTTACTTCAACACTCAAAATATCAACGCCTATATAAACACGTCTGCAATCATCAACAACAGTGATTGAATTTTTCTCAACAAACAAAACAACAAATAGTTTACAATTCTGCTTTTCAAGGATTATTTCCTTCCGATAAAGTAACACCCTTTGCCATTTTCTAAGCTTAAGCCGGCGGTTGCAAAAAATTGGGCGTAAAGAAGACTCGAATCCATAACCCTGAAATGCATGTACAGCACCACAACTTCTGGGAAACTAGGCATCATGCAAAATGAGAGTAAATGATCCTCATGAAAATCAGCTGCTTGTTCGATTTGGAAGAACTCTGCTGTGCGACAATAGAGTGATAGTTAAGAAAGATTTTCAAAACAGGTCAACTACCCTTGAAGGTTAAATATATACACGCTTCTCAGGCCAAAGATATCTTTTCAGTAAATTGACATTTCGCGACAGCTCGTAAACCACACTTGTACTCACATTGAACATTTACTATGGCAGCATTGGAGGTAGCACCTCCAACCTCGTTGCTTGCCACACACTGGTAGGCTCCGTTGTCTTTCCTGCTCACATTAACTATTGTCAGCTGTACGTTGTCTCTTGACAAAAGGATTCTCGAATCTTCACTGGGATTTATACCAGATCCATTTTTTTCCCATGATATCCTCAAAGAGCTCCCAGAAGCGTTGCAAAATAGAGTCAAGTTTTCTCTCTCTTTGACCGGACTGGCTTTTGGGTCCTGCTCTATAGATGGTGTCACTGCAAAATCAAAAGAGGTCATACGTAAACGTAAAATCTTCTTGTCAGCTCTAAAGCAGATTACTATGTTACAAATTTTCTCTTGCAGGTCTCCACTTAGGCCGGTTACTGCGTTTTATGACTTAATTCCCATCCCTCCTCTGACTGAACGAACGTTGGCGTCTAAACATGCACAATTGTTTTTTTTTTTCGCCCAATGATGTTGAGTGAGCTTTTTTTTCTTATTTACATGAGAATAAAATTTTTCGGCCAAACATGTTACTTGCAACACATGTGAGAAGTAGAGGGTCTCAATGGATCAATTGTTAACGGCCGATAGCATTAGCCCTTAGACGTAAAAATTATCAAATTTTAATTGTTAGTCGGAAAAAGATTAGGCTTTGAAAAATTTCTGGTGATCACTGTGGATAGAAAATGAAGTTTAGCCGTAAATTGACCAAAATTTTAACCATTAGCCGTAAAAGCCAACACCCTATTGAGACTCTGGAAGGACCGTAAGGTCTCAGAGGAACACGCACAGAATGGTCTTTCAGTGTGTCAATTCACGAGTCAAATTTTGGCCACAAGCTTTTAAAAGATTTGAGCCTGGTATAAAACAGTTCCTCGACTTCACATCGAACTTCTGCTTTTGGTCACTTTCGGCCAAGAAATATATTGACAAACCAAATTGTTTCAAGTCTAAGTCCATTTACATCGCAACATACCTTGAATGACAATCGACGTCCAATTTGAGGAGGAACTACCAACATTATTTGTGACATTGCAGGTGTAATTTCCAGCATCTTCCAAGGAAACTGCGATGATCGACAACTGAGTTTGGCTTTCATTATGATGTGAAATAGTGACACGTGACCCATTCGAAGGCGTAATAAGGGTTGATGCAATAACAATCCCATCTTTTACCCACTGCACCTCAGAAACAGTAGGCAAGGCGTTGAATTGGCATGTCAGCAGTAAATCAGTGCCGTTGGCTAAATACCGTTTTTGATCTCCATCGATTGTGACTTCTGGTGCAACTAAAATTCAGTGATACGACATAGAAACCGCTCTTCATTGATAATATCATATTAAAGTTAGCGGAGATCAATTATTGTAAAACGAAAACTTACCCAGGACCCTTTAATCAAAAACCACAATGAATATTTGAGAGGGAGAAGCTGAGATGTCGAGAACAATTTGGACGCAGCTCCCTGCAGTGTCTGACACATGTATTTAATCCACTGAGGAACTTATAGCATCATTGGCTTCGCATTAATTCAACTTGGTCTTTTGCCATTTTCAATACGAGAAGCACATTAACCGAAAAGAGAGGTTTTGTCAATAATAATGATCTATAGAATTTGTGGTCAACGCTGGAGGAAACTCGAATAAAAAAGTGATCAATACAAGAACGTTGTAAATATACAAATATACACTACTTTAGCACACACATTGTACTGTTAGGGTCGCTGAAGATGAAGTCGCGGTATCCAAACTGTTATTGGCTACACATCTGTACTGCCCTGCATCTGATTGTTGAACATTTGATATGGTCAATTGGTGGTCTCCATCATTGGAAGATACACTAAGTCGCACATCTCCTGTCACATTCAATTCCAGTCCATTTTTTGTCCACGCGACATCAGGTGTAGGGTATCCTGCGACTACGCAACTGAAATCAACGGTTTGTTTTTCCTCTTTTGTGCGATTAGTTGGAGGTTCGGAGATTTCAGGTCCAACTAGTAATGTGAAGATAAAAAATTGAAAAACTGAGCCACTGCAAAACCATACGTATTTCACAAAAATACAGAAAAAAATTGCCGTTTCGGCAATTTTTGCTGAAACACTACAACACTGCAACACTGATTTAAATGAAAGTTACTCCGTTTGATAACTGTAAAAAACAAAGCAAACGTTAAAAGGAATCGAATAAACAAAAAACAAAACAAAATTGTTAGTATCAATAATCTACATCAGTGTAATACTAGAGCAGAAAATAGCGTTGAAGGCCCGCCCTGATTGGCTATTAAGCCTCTGAATATCCGCCACTAGCCACCTCCACTTCGGTGAAGCTTGGTTATTTAATAGTGTAATAATGTCAATTTAAGAATGCTATCATTTTACTATCATCTCAAGCCAAGCAAGAAAAAAGAAACTTCAAGACTGCTAACAAGTTAAAACGGCCTGTTACGTTTGCTCTGTACTTACATTCAACCAGCAGAAAGGTAGTATTAGACGTATCATTTCCAACCTCGTTGCTCGCCACACATTTGTATTCCCCTTTGTTTACCCTGCTCACGTTCGTTATAATCAAATGTCGATTGCCATCTGAAAAACTAATCCTTGAATCCCCTGAGGTGGTTACATCAGATCCGTTGAATTTCCACGTTATCGTTAGAGAGCTTCCAGAAGAGTTACAAAATAACGTGACATTTTCTCCCTCTTTGACAGTAAGAGTTTCTGGCTGCAATTTGGTGGAGGGCTTCTCTGTGAAAGAAATACTTTAGTCAGTTATTTGGTATTCCAAGGTATTGTACAATTTTACTTTTACGTCTTCTTTCGAGGCTTTCTAAAGTGTAGTAAGTTAAACTTTCGTATGATTGACACCTTTTTTAATATTTTTTTAACTTGTTTTTTTATTTTTTGTGAGTCTATGAGGAAGGAATGGTTTTTGTCTAGAAATTGAGATAAGGAATTAAATTATTTTTTGAACGCGTAAATCAAGGCAAATTTTGTTTTACTGATCAAATAAATGTGATGTTCATTTTGACGAGAGAATTGTTTTGTTGCAAAAATAAATTCGTGTAATTTTGTTTACACAGAACTGCTGGGTTGGCTTTTTCTTCCACAGGAGAAGATTTTAAACTAACAAAAAATTTAACCAGGAACATGGAGAGAAATAATGCCGCAGATATGTTGTACAGAAAGTAATGGACATGGTATACATACCTTGAATGACAACCAAAGTCGAATCTGTTGTACCATTTACATTATTTGTAACATTGCAGCTGTAATTTCCAGAATCCTGTGAAGAAGCTGAGGCGGTTGAAAGCTGTGATAGACTTTCATTATAAAAGATGTTAGTCACTCTTGATCCATTGTTGGTCACAGTGGCATTTATGGTAATCACATTTCCATCTTTTATCCACTGCACCTCAGAAACAGGCGGTGAAGCGTTATACTGACAGATCAACGTGAAGTTCTCGCCTTCAGCCATAAATTGCTCTTGGTTACCATCAATTGCAACTTCGGGCTCATCTGAAATTCAAATCAAACTCTTCTTAGGACAAGGGGGTAAGTTTCTAAAGAAACTGTGGTGCTCCTTCGGTGGGAGAGTATAACAGACTTATTTAGTATAATTATGATCAACTGACTTGATAACGTAACTGGCCAACGTAACGAGGTTTGAAGCTGAAGTTTCAAGGGTTAGCTCTTCGTCGGAGCGGAAGACGAAGGGCTAACGCTCGAAACCTAAGCTTCGAAACTCTTCACGGTGGTCATTTACGTTATCAACTCAGTTAATGATGCTAAATTATCTTCCTAGGTCAAACTATCATTTACTAAAGCAATTGTTCTTTCGAGAGAACGAAAGCCTGCAAGGGATATTAAAATAAAATCAAACATTTAAAACGTCTCTTCGTTATTTCTTCCTCATGGTGATCGGCAGTCGGAAGGATTGAAAAGAAGAAAGAGCCGGCGCTTTGAATGCTGATTCGCTGTAAAATGAAAGGCAAATGTCGTGTTTTTGTTGACTCCTGTCGGTATCTTTCAATTTATAATTGACTGATGAACAGCATCTTTTCCTCCCTTAAATACACTTATATGAAAAGCAATAAAAATCTGCTAAGCATATTCGTATTAGAATAGGTGATACGCGTCTTTTCTAATCCACTACTATGTCATTTTGCCAAATAAGGTCATGAGAACGCGCAAAATATGCCACGGTCTTACGCTGTAGAGGAGGGCAAAATTACGGAGCAATGAAATGGCCGCACTGAACGACCTAATGTATTGCTTGTATTTTTTCTCGCCCCTTCGGGGCTCTGGGAATACTTCGCAACTCGCAAAAATGAATATCAGCACGTAGTACATGTTTAACGATCGAGTAACGTGTATTTATTTAAATATTTTATCTCAGAAGCTATGAGCATGAAACTTCTCCCTATAATATCCCCACACTATCTGGCAAACAGCTAATGTGAACATCAAAATTCTCAGACAATATTTTTTATCTTGACGAAGCAACAAATTGTTGCAATTAACTTACAGGAAATGCGTAGCAGTTAGAGGGGAAATTTTTTTAAAAAACGGTGCAAAAGGAGAGCATTTAAGGACTTGAAATTTTTTAATAAATTGCGTCAATAGCAGCGAATAGTGGCAAAAACGGGCTACAATTTTGCTCATTCAACCTTAAATTTTTTAATCGAAACTATAGGAAAATTTTGCAAAAATTGCCGTCTATCGTTAACAAACTGTGAAAGCAGACTGCAAGAAGTTAAATTTTTGCCGTTTGGTTTAGTCATCGCTGCTAGCCTTTCCAATTAGTTGCCTTCTCGTTTCTTTTTCCTCATATTTGATCAAAAAACATTGAGTTAAAATCACGCAACAGAGTCATCAGCAGACACACGGGTTATTTACATAAATTAATGCCCCTTTTTTTCAGCCTTTCCTTTACGCTTGATTACTTTTGCATTTGCAATTGTCTTTCCGCCTTTCAATTTCATTAGGGCCTTTCCGCACTAGCGACAAAATTGTTTATTTAGACATATTTTCTGTCATCACCAACATTTTAAAAGTGCGGATGGTTTGTCGCGACTCTACTAATTCTGGCCGTAGCCGTCAAAACCTGAGACGCACCACCGACAAATTTTTTCCCACGTGATAATTTAGCAAAATCGACTAATTATACGAAACCGCGATAAACATGTCAATCATTTGTCGTTGAAGCTAAGACAAGCGTGTAATTGAACCGTCATCAGTTTACTAGAAAGGCAGTAATTGTCTTCTGCTGCGACGCTCGGGTATTCTAAAATTTTACAGTGACTTAGGATAAATCCCGGAAATTAAAGGTGAAATCCTTCGGCAACTATGTTGGCCGATCCTATGAACAGATCTGGCGCTGACGGAATGTGACGGTTTTAAAATTTTTAATGTAGATGCAACCGACGAAACAAAAATTCATCATGACAAAATTTGACCTTTGATTTTGTCGGAATAATTCTAGTTTTGTCCGCTAGTAGGGAAATGCTCTTCAAATAAACGTCAAATTTGATCCCCTCCAACAGTTTCTAGTTTAATTGGCAGAATTAGCCTTGCGCTATACATTGATCAAGGCTTTCAGGGTAATTTTAAATAAATATTCACACATCATGAAGGAAATACAACAAATGAACTGCCGTAACAATAGTGTACCTCACTGTGGTGTCTACGTCATTTTTCTTTAGGACTGAAGATACCTTAAGTGTCCTATTGTCATGCCCAACAATAAAAAAGACTTTCGATTGTTGATCAAAGCCATATCTACACCAGGTAAGCTTGAAAAGGAGGAAACTGGTGTAAACATTATTTTAACGAAAATTGTTTACCAGATCAAAAGGATAGACATAAATTATTCAATCCCTCTCTAGGCATGACGTGTACTGAATTAAAATTCCTTGCAGTCATTCAATCGTGAACAACAAGTTCGCTTTACACCAAAAATAAAATATATAACATTTAACCTGTTAAGAATCGTCTATGTTGATGCCATGTTGTGCTTACGATCCGAAGATTCAACATATTTCACAAACAATACAAACCATTGGTTTGTTGTATTCATGGATGCAATTAAGTCAAAAGCTCCAGTTAAGACGACTCCCTGTTGTGGGACGCACTAACTGATCGATTTCGCTTAACTCAGTGTTTAAGAGCAAGTTATGGTCTTTCAAATTATGAACAGCAAATTGATTAAAACAGAACTGCAAACAGAACCTATCTCACAAGTCTTCACATCAAACAGACTCACTTAATTTCGGGTCTTACATAAGCTAATACAGCTCCCGGAAGTTCTTGTCATAAATCAAGGAAAAACTATCTAGGCACGCGGTTCTGAAACGTGAATACCGATCAAAATGATGTACAAATTCAATATTTACGATATTTTGATTGAAAGCGCCTTTAATATGCTGTAAGACCTAAAATGTAGGTGATGATATTGCTTTTGTAACCTTAGAAATGATTAACAGAGCTTAGCCATTTTTTGGCTGATTCTTTCTTCTTCCTCCTTTAATAAGAAAAAAATCCCCGACAATTGCGACTTACGGAAGTCGAAAGCGGTCTTTTTTAAAAGAAGAAAGACAATTTTTGACTTGTATGGTAATATAGAGCAGACAAGTTTATTATTAGTTATTTCAAGGTCGTGACCTAATCAACCGCAGCAAAATTTTCAGTTGATCTTCTTAGGGGGGTAGGGTACGATCAAATATTCTAAACAGCGGCTTCGATCGTACTGTGCTTCCTAACTATGGACGAAATTCAAGCCGGAACTTTTACGTTCAGAGAACGTCTCTATCATTGGTTCTTCGTCATTCTGCTGTTAGTGTCTTATTCATCAGGCCAAGGTAGTAAAAGTGATTTTTCTTCTTTTGAAAACAGAAGTGTTTGTAAGATTTGGAAGCGGAAATCATTTACGTTGACTTAACCTATTCTGTGTACGAGGTGTTTGCTCCGGCCGCGCATTGAATTTTCACGTTAAATACTAACGTAATGATGGGAATTAGTTCTTTTATGTGTGAGAGAAGAAGCTTTTTAAGTTAAATTTGTTGGAATGCAAAGTTTTGGTCGATTTTCTTCGGCATAATATTTCGATATTCCAATTTAATTCGAATGTTTCGTTTTTCTTGTGTAATTATGAATTCGACATAAATCCGCTTCAGCAAAGTTTAATCGAATTCATTGCTTTACTCACCAAACGTAAACTTCGTTTGCATAACGGAGATACCAAAAAATTTCGCAAACTTTAGTACATACAAGCTTATTTTACACACAGGTGCCAGTTAAACACCAATTATGACTCGAAAGTATTTCGAATATTTTTAAACTATTTGCACTTCCTCTTGATTTGGGTTACGCATATGTTACGTGGATAATTTTCCTCGATGGGACGTGACTGGTGACTTTATTTTGAAAATATAAGTTGCCATCGAGCGTTGGTGTTCTGAAACAACTATATTTAGCGGCTGGTTTGTTTATAAACGACCTTGGAACACGCAACGCAAATTCTCAGATTCTCCTTTGCCAAGTGTTGTTTAGAATTTTATTGATGATTTCTAAATTGGCCCTAGCATGTTTTTTAAATGGAGAAAAAATAAAAATCAAGTTCTTTTTAAAAAAAATTGCAAGCAAGGAAACCATGAACCCCACAGTAAATTGGAGATTGTGTTCCCCTAAATGATCATTCAGCTCAGCTCCAAATGTAGCTTGACACTTGAAATCACTTTTCTTTGGGCAGCCTAAAATCATTGAATGGTTGCCATAAGAAAAACTTTCACCACCAAAAAACAAAAGAAAGGGAGAAAGGAACAAACACAAAATGAAAAAGGACAGCTTGTGAAGCAAATGTATGATGTACTATGTTGCGTTTGATATCTTGTCACTGAGAGAATTAAGGAGACTTAAAAGGCAATAAATTCATTTGACAATTGGGCCCTTTAATTATGTTCTGTGGATATGTTTCTACATCTTTTTCACTTTTTACCAAATGTTAAACACCAAGTAAAGTAGAAAGCTTTCTCTTCAAGTCCCCCAACCACTGGGCACCACTTGGCCACCTTTGCTGCAAACTTGGTAGAAATTTTTTTTTCCTACTTGCCATGGCATCTAAATAAGTCGCATCATACAATAGCACTGTTATTGTCAATTTTGGATTTGAAGGAGAAGGGATGGTTTCCAGAAATGGCTTAGGGCTAAGAATAAGACCTGTACCTCTCTCCATCCAGATGATTTCACTTCCAGGGCAAAGAGTCTCTATGCAAATAATTAAGGAGGATAAACTTTTGTTAGTGTGGAGTTTGTACACTGTAGAACATTTTAAAAATTATTCCTGTATCTGTTCTACCTCTTTTGGTGAAGAAAGATTAGCTTTCAACTGAAACTGTACAAACTTGGTACATGTATGTTTCAATGTTTAATGATATGGTATTTTCTTTCCCAGTGGTACCTGACCCCCCAAAGAATGTCAGTTTGGTCACAAAAGGCTCAAGGACGATAGAGATCTCCTGGATGGCTGGTTTTAATGGAAGCAGTGCCATTCAGAACTACACAGTGGAGATTGGAGAAGATAAGGAGAACTTTACTGGTGTTGGTTGTCAAGGAACACTCTCAAATGGTACCTGTGTAGTGTCCAACTCCACAAACGCGTCTCTCACAGGGCTTTTTCCTTTTACAAAGTACTTCATTAGAGTGTTTGCAACAAATGCAATTGGCAGAAGCAATAGCAGTTCTGTTGTAATTGTTACTACAGATGAAGAAGGTACTTTGAGGTTCATTGTTTAAATTTATTGTATTTTCTTACATTTTATTCTTTTCCTTATCGGTAATGACGCAGACTAGATAATAATAAGCTCAAACTGTCGATAAAGTCCTCTCCTTCGACTTAATTGACAAATAAACTTTCTGTTATAAAGTCCAATTTTAGTCCTGTTGAGCCTTTGCAACGACTCAATTTTTTTGTTAAATACTTCTAAAATATTTGAATCCTATCTCGTGAAATTTTCTTTTCAGAACCTAGTGCTGCTCCTTCAAATGTGAGAGGACATAACACCAGTTCAACCAGCATCTTAGTAGAGTGGGATGATGTTCCAGCTTATGATCAGAATGGTATCATCATGAGTTACAACATTACCTATCAGTCACTGACAGAGAATCACAGTAACAGTACAACAGTGGATTATCCAGTTCGTCAAGTGACTCTATTAGATCTCAAAGAGTTTGTTATCTACAGCATCACCGTGTTTGCATCGACGAAGATAGGAGACGGACCAGCTAGTGATCCTGTATATGTCAAAACGGATGAGGACAGTAAGTATTTTTTACTGTACCATTAGTCTTCGTTTTTTCATTTACGCAATATTTTTAAGATTCGCAAGTTTCTTTCTTACGATACATGTAAAACTCTAATTCATGCCTTTGTTACTGCAAGGATCGACTATTGTAACTCACTGCTCTACGGTCAGCCTAAATGTATCTTGAAACGTTTACAGAGTGTCCTAAATAGTGCTGCTAGGCTTATTCACCTTACTAGTAGATATGAGCATGTTACGCCGTTGCTTATTCAACTTCATTGGCTACCAATTGAACAAAGAATAACTTTCAAAATTGCAGTAATTACATTTAAGGCGCTTCATGGTGCTGCACCTAGCTATATAACTGATCTCATCAAGCCTTATTCACCTGGTAGACTTCTTAGATCCTCCAACCAGTTTTTACTTTCTACATCTAAATTTAATCTTAAAACTTATGGTGACCGGTCTTTTACTATTGCCGCACCTTCTGTTTGGAATGCACTTCCATTCGAACTTAGATCTTGTAATTCCCTTTCTTCTTTTAAATCTAAGCTCAAAACGTGGCTTTTTAAAATTGGTTATGATGTTGTATAGAATGATGATGTTTTTATAGGATGACATGTAGTTTTGTAGTTTTGTAGGTTTAGGATTTTGTTCTTATTTTTTATTATGTAAAGCGCTTTTGGACCATTGGGAATTTTTATAGAATGACAATGTAGTTTTGTAGGTTAAGGATTTTGTTATTTTTATTATGTAAAGCGCTTTTGGACCATTGGGAATTAGCGCTCTATAAATACTGTATATTATTATATTATTATTATATTACTTTGGGTTAAAGTTGGAGTTTGATTTGAATGTAATTGTACAGACACCAATGATGAGGTGTAAGACCACTTGCAGTCCTCTCCTTTGACCTGTAAAGTTTCGGGAATAGATACCTATTTTATTCCTGTTGAGCCCTCGCTGCAACTCATTTGTTGCTTTTTTTAAATTGCTTTTGAGATATCTCAAGACCTGTTTGGTGAACTTTTTTTTCAGAACCTACTGCTGCTCCTGTGAATGTAACAGGACATAAAACCAGCTCAACCGGCATCTTAGTGGAGTGGGATGATGTTCCAGATTTTGATCAGAATGGTATCATCACGAGTTACAACATTACTTACCGATCAAAAACAGAGTATCACAATGGATTTGCTGAAGCTGGCCCCAGTGACCGTCAAAAGGAAGTAAAAGATCTTAGAGAGTACGTCGAGTACGATATCACAGTACGTGCTTCGACTTCGAAAGGCGATGGACCAGACAGTAGCCCTATTACTGTCAGAACAGACCAAGATGGTAAGTACTTACACAAACTCTTTTGACCACGTTAACACTCAGTTTTTGTTCACCTTCCAGCTAAATGTTTTTGTTTGGTTGGAATTTTAATTTTTTCTAGAAGTGATCACTTCCACGCGATATTTTGTGAATGTTACTGGAAATGAACATCATCGAATGGAATATTGTATTAAATATTCTTGTCTCTCCTTCTCAGTCGCTTTGTTTTTATATACCTGTGATACACCTTAAAACGGCCGTGCTGCTAAGTAACATTTTTCTACATCAAAGATTGCCTGACAACATTGCATTATGGTGTTGCTTTTAGAACCCAGTAGCTCGCCACAAGGTGTTCAAGCTAGCGCCAAAAATTCCACAAGTGTCTCTGTAAGCTGGGCTGCGGTTGGTAATGAACAACGTAATGGAATCATTAAAGGATACAAAGTAATTTATCAAGCGTTACCGGATGGGAGAAACGTTACAAGGTTCGTCAACATCAGCGATGAGGATCAAGGAAAAGAGCAAGATATAACTTTGGGCGATCTCGTCAAGTTTACAAACTACAGTATCAGGGTGTTAGCGTTCACTGTTGTCGGAGACGGACCACCGAGTGAAGTCAAAATTGTTCAAACACAACAGGACAGTAAGTTACATTCCAGTTGCAAGATATTAAAAATTTTTTTGATGTTTTCGGTCAAAAATATTCTGACACTGTAACATGACAGTGCTTTAAGGGAAACGATACAGCCATCAAATTTTCCGCTGACTGGTAGTGTTTGTGACTACAAACTCAGTCAATGTCAAGTACATGCTATTTGAATTTCAGTACTGTCGTTTGTTTGCTGGTATTGGTAGTCTTTTGTTCTTACTAAAACAGGGTATAGTGTTGAAGGCGCGCTCTGATTGGCTACTCAAACTCCGAATATCCTTTGCCATTCATCTTCGAGGAACTCGCGCGGAATTTGCGCCCAAAATTGTTGTGATCGCTGCAGGAACAGATGAATTAAATTAACTTTTTTTTTAATTTTGGACTTTTTTTATTTCACTGTTTTAGTATTTTTAGTGTTTTCTGTCCGGTCGGGAGATGTCACTGTTACGGCATATTTAATGACCCGAAGCAATCTCTATAATCCCGGACCTTTTCCCCTCTCAAAGACTATAAGAGGGAACCCATTTCCTCAAGCAGCATTTTGATTTGGCGGCTCAAGTGATGTTAATACTTGTTTGTGTAGAGAATGTTGCAAACGATATTTTCTATTATTTGTTGCCATTCGTTCCTTTAACAGTGGGTAATTACAATTTTATGTTTTTAAAGCGTTTAATTTTAAAATTTAAGCGACGCAATGGATGAATATAAATTTTTTTCCCTTTTTAAGAACCTACTGCTGCCCCTGCCAATGTGGTAGGACAAAGTCTCAGCTCAAAAAGCATCTTAGTCACATGGAATGAAGTTCCACCAGCTGACCAGAATGGTATCATCATGAGTTACAACGTTACCTATCAGTCGCTGACAGAGAATTACAGTAACAGTACAACAGTGGATTATCCAGCTGGTCGAGTGACTCTATCAGATCTTAAAGAGTTTGTTATCTACAGCATCACCGTGTTTGCATCGACGAAGATAGGAGACGGACCAGCTAGTGATCCTGTATATGTCAAAACGGATGAGGACAGTAAGTATTTTTTACTGTACCATTAGTCTTCGTTTTTTCATTTACGCAATATTTTTAAGATTCGCAAGTTTCTTTCTTACGATACATGTAAAACTCTAATTCATGCCTTTGTTACTGCAAGGATCGACTATTGTAACTCACTGCTCTACGGTCAGCCTAAATGTATCTTGAAACGTTTACAGAGTGTCCTAAATAGTGCTGCTAGGCTTATTCACCTTACTAGTAGATATGAGCATGTTACGCCGTTGCTTATTCAACTTCATTGGCTACTAATTGAACAAAGAATAACTTTCAAAATTGCAGTAATTACATTTAAGGCGCTTCATGGTGCTGCACCTAGCTATATAACTGATCTCATCAAGCCTTATTCACCTGGTAGACTTCTTAGATCCTCCAATCAGTTTTTACTTTCTACATCTAAATTTAATCTTAAAACTTATGGTGGCCGGTCTTTTACTATTGCCGCACCTTCTGTTTGGAATGCACTTCCATTCGAACTTAGATCTTGTAATTCCCTTTCTTCTTTTAAATCTAAGCTCAAGACGTGGCTTTTTAAAATTGGTTATGATGTTGCATAGAATGATGATGTTTTTATAGGATGACAATGTAGTTTTGTAGTTTTGTAGGTTTAGGATTTTGTTCTTATTTTTATTATGTAAAGCGCTTTTGGACCATTGGGAATTTTTATAGAATGACAATGTAGTTTTGTAGGTTAAGGATTTTGTTATTTTTATTATGTAAAGCGCTTTTGGACCATTGGGAATTAGCGCTCTATAAATACTGTATATTATATTATTATTATTATATTACTTTGGGTTAAAGTTGGAGTTTGATTTGAATGTAATTGTACCGACACCAATGATGAGGTGTAAGACCATTTGCAGTCCTCTCCTTTGACCTGTAAAGTTTCGGGAATAGATACCTATTTTATTCCTGTTGAGCCCTCGCTGCAACTCATTTGTTGCATTTTTTAAATTGCTTTTGAGATATCTCAAGACCTGTTTGGTGAACTTTCTTTTCAGAACCTACTGCTGCTCCTGTGAATGTAAGAGGACATAACACCAGCTCAACCAGCATCTTAGTAGAGTGGGATGATGTTCCAGATTTTGATCAGAATGGTATCATCACGAGTTACAACATTACTTACCGATCAAAAACAGAGAATCACAATGGATTTGCTGAAGCTGGCCCCAATGACCGTCAAAAGGAAGTAACAGATCTTAGAGAGTACGTCGAGTACGATATCACAGTACGTGCATCGACTTCGAAAGGCGATGGACCAGACAGCAGCCCTATTACTGTCAGAACAGACCAAGATGGTAAGTACTTAGACAAACTCTTTTGACCACGTTAACACTCAGTTTTTGTTCACTCAGTTTTTTGTTCTTACTAAAACAGGGTATAGTGTTGAAGGTGCGCTCTGATTGGCTACTCAAATTGGCTACTCAAATTTTTACTTTGGGTTATAGTTGAAGTTTGATCTGAATGTAATTGTACAGAGACCAATGATGAGGTGTAAGATCTCTTGCAGTCCTCTCCTTCGACTTAATTGACAAATAAACTTTCTGTAATAAAGTCCAATTTTAGTCCTGTTGAGCCTTTCAAACGACACAATTTTTTTGTTTAATACTTCTAAAAAATATTTGAATTCCTATGTCGTGAAATTTTTTTTTTCAGAACCTACTGCTGCTCCTTCAAATGTGAGAGGACATAACACCAGTTCAACCAGCATCTTAGTAGAGTGGGATAATGTTACAGCTTATGATCAGAATGGTATCATCACGAGTTACAACATTACCTATCAGTCGCTGACAGAGAATCACAGTAACAGTACAACAGTGAATTATCCAGTTGGTCGAGTGACTCTATCAGATCTTAAAGAGTTTGTTAACTACAGCATCACTGTTTTTGCATCGACGAAGATAGGAGACGGACCAGCCAGTGATCCTGTATATGTCAAAACGGACGAGGACAGTGAGTATTTTTACTTTGGGTTATAGTTGGAGTTTGATTTGAATGTAATTGTACAGACACCAATGATGAGGTGTAAGACCTCTTGCAGTCCTCTCCTTCGACTTAATTGACAAATAAACTTTCTGTAATAAACTCCAATTTTAGTCCTGTTGAGCCTTCGCTACGACTCAATTTTTTTGTTAAATACTTCTAAAATATTTGAATTCCTATTTCGTGAACTTCTTTTCAGAACCTACTGCTGCTCCTTTAAATGTGAGAGGACATAACACAAGTTCAACCAGCATCTTAGTAGAGTGGGATGATGTTCCAGCTTATGATCAGAATGGTATCATCACGAGTTACAACATTACTTACCGTTCACAAACAGAGGAACACAATGGATTTGCTATAGCTGGCCCCAATGACCTTCAAAAGAACTTAACAAATCTTAGAGAGTACGTGGATTACGAAATCACAGTACTTGCGTCGACTTTTAAAGGCGATGGACCAGACAGTAGCCTTGCTATTGTTGTAAGAACAGATCAGGATAGTAAGTAGTGTTCTTGGAGATTTTTCTTTATTATCGTGACTGTAATGTGTGATTTGAGGTTGATATTGTATGGAGAAACTAGATGTTAGTTAATCCAAGAGTGATGTTTATTTTTACCCTCCAGCTGAATGTTTCTAGAGACAAAAATAATTTGAAGTGTGAATCTTAATACTGCACTTTAGAAATTGCTTATGTGGCTGGTGACCAGGAGAAATTCATTGTCTTTAACTCACTCTACATTTGCAAAATAAAAATTCTGTAAAGCTCACATTAACCCTTAACTCCCATCAGTGACCAATAGAGAATTTCTCCCCACAGTGTCGATGCAATATCAAGCAGACAAGTGATAAGAATAAAGAAAAATAGCGATTAGGGGATTTTCCGTTGATCCAATACTAAATTCTCCAAACTAACATCATAAGAATTGTGTGGCAGATAGTAAGGAGAATTAGTAATCTGATTGTGGAAGTGAAAGGGTTAAAGAACAAAAAATTCCCATTAAATGTTATTTTCTCTTTAATTACCCATCTCCCTCTCAAGTAGTAATGTTTATTACGTTTCCCTTTGAAAGCTCGAAGATGGTCGCTTCGGGATCGTCTGGTCTCCAGTTAGTTATTCATTTATTTTATACATGATATATACAAACAGTGCCTATTCATTTTAGAGCCCACTGCTCCTCCTGCCAATATTCGAGGACATAACACCAGCTCAACCAGCATCTTAGTAGAGTGGAGAGAGGTTCCACCAGCAGATCAGAATGGCGTCATTCTAACCTACACCATTAGTTACCAATCACTGACACAGAATGACAACAGCAGTAAAACAGTTGGTTCTTCAATACAAAAATTAAATCTGACAGGGTTGAAGGAGTTTGTCGACTACAACATCACTTTGTTTGCTTCTACGGTGAAAGGAAATGGGAAACTTAGTGATCCTATTTTTGTTATTACTGACCAGGATAGTAAGTGGTATTTTCCTTTCTTTGATAGTTCAGTCATATTCAGATCCCGGCAGGGTGTAACTGAATCCTTCTTTTTGTTATGGCAACGTTGCGACCATTCTAAATTACCCAAACCTTTGTTTAAAGAGGGAAATACAAGAACCCTCTTTAAATGAGCGTCATGCCGTTATTTCCGCCCTACTTTTACCACCTAAATGGAAAGAGGCTGTTGGTATAAGCACTCTTAATCAGTCTTTCCTGCAACCAACACCGCATTATTAGCGCCGCAACAAGAATGGTTATTCGCACGCGAGCAAGTTAATCAGAGCGAGCCCGCGCAATTGATCTGGCACTAATGATGAGTTGCAAGATAACTTGGAGACCTCTCGCTAGAAAGCGTTGATCAAGGCCTCCAAGTTATAAGCGGGTGAAGAAATGACTTTGCTGAAGTAAAAATTATGATAGTCGCAGGCTAAACCAGCTCGTTCCTGAGTCTGGCTCCCACAACCCTCATTTCATCTTAGATGAAGAATTCTTTATTTGTATTAACGACTTCATTGACAAATTACCAGTTAGGAATAAACTCTCATCCTAGTCCTGTTGAGCCTTCGCTAAAACTCATTTATTGCATTTTATAAATTACTTTTGAGATATGTCAAGGCCTGTTTCGTGAACTTTCTTATCAGAACCTACTGCTGCTCCTGTGAGTGTAAGAGGACATAAAACCAGCTCAACCAGCATCTTAGTAGAGTGGGATGATGTTCCAGCTTATGATCAGAATGGTATCATCACGAGTTACAACATTACTTACCGCTCACAAACAGAGGAACACAAAGGATTTGCTATAGCTGGCCCCAATGACCTTCAAAAGAACTTAACAGATCTTAGAGAGTACGTGGACTACAACATCACAGTGCGTGCGTCGACTTCGAAAGGAGATGGACCAGACAGTAACCCGGCTATCGTCGTTAGAACAGACCAGGATAGTAAGTACTTTTTTTTTCTAAATGTCTTGTCTATGATAAATGTTTTACACCCCAACATCTGTATGCATATTCTCCATACTGTTCCCTATACATAAGCAAAGGTGCTGACAAGGAGCATTTGTTCCACAATCAAGAGCTTCTTTAGCTGGTGATCGTTTCCTCTATTCTCATGACCTTAATGTTTGATTCAGGGGTGATATTCTAAGGAGAAATTAGATGTTAGGGTCAAAGGGTTTAGACTGATGTTTATCTTCACCCTCCATCTGACTGCTTCTAAAGATGAAAATAATTTGCTTCATAAAACTGCACCTCAAAGAAAATTGTTAGAATGACTGATGACCTGGAGAAATTCCGTGTCTTTTGAAAGCTCTTTACCTCAGTCTGAATTAGTAAAATTACTTTATCCTTTTTTGGGGGCAAGTTTGATTATTCAGCGTTATTTCAGACATCGGAAATCTCGTAGCTAATGGGGCGCTATGGCGCTATTATCGTCCCTTTTCAAGAAACTTAACGCCTCGAAGAGACTATGGTATCACGTTTTCTTTGTAGTTCTCCTTCAAACAAAGTCCATACGATAGCAACTAATCCAGGTATTAAATAGGATTTGCAGTGCGTATTGCAATGGAATCTCTTAGCATGTCTTTCTCCGGTTAGAAACCACCCATGACCTAGACGAGCGTTATGTTTTTAACATGCCCAAAATGTTTTAACTTCGTCAGTTCTAATCCGTGTCAATCCTCACCATCTTTTATCATCTTGGTTTTTTTCTGCGGATTTTTTGTTATCCTATGGTGTTTTTCTGGAGCAAATATATCTCTTTCAAAGTATCCGTTAATTTGTTCAGTAAATGCTTTTTACATTATCTTAACATAACACCGTTGACATGGTGAAGATATGAAATAATAATGTGCTTGCCAATGATTTCCAGGACCCAGTGCTGCCCCTCAGAATTTGCGTTCAATCAATACGACTTCAACAAGCATATTTGTCATGTGGGATAAAGTTTTGCCTGATGAACAGAATGGTATCATTATTAGTTACAACGTCAGCTATCGGGCGATACCAGAAGCTGGATCTGCTGGGCCATTATTCTCGAAATTAGTTATGGCTCCAACAAGGCACGTGAACCTGACCGACCTAACAAGGGATATGCATTACAACGTCAGTGTTTTGGCATCCACAATCAAGGGCGACGGGAAGTACAGTAACCCAAAGAAGTTGAGAACAAACGAAGACAGTAAGTCTGTATTTTTGAAAGTAAACTCAGGAAAATAGATTCCTGTTTATGATTACATGGTGTGACAGCATCAACCGGGTCTGATGTAAAACGGGTTAGCAATTAAGTCAAGCTAACGACAAACACATAACGAAGAACGAAGTAATTCGGCAACGAACTCACATCTAGCCAAACTCATCTTGTCCAGTTTCTACAAAGCAGCCTTCATATAGTTCAAAAGTCAGTTTCAGCGTAATCTGAAAAATTAATACAGACTTTTGGTGGATAGTCACGTGCACGTAACTGCCATGGAGAAAGTGTAGGCTTTCTTGTAGCTTCTTATGATTTTAAACTTCGCTTTCCTTAGAAAGTAAGAAGTCCCTGGTGTTAAGCGTATAAAACCAGATTGATTTTCACCCATCGACGTATGTGAAATTAGGCGACAATGAAAATCCAGCAGGTGTACAATTGGGTAGCCTACGTGTAGCCCCAAGATGAAACGGAAGCGAGGGAACGTCTAGGCAAACCAAACATTAATCCTGTTCCGTGACGTCACTCTAATATCTGCAAAATAATGTCATTTGGTAATATTTTCTTGCGAAGTGGTACGTGTTAGCATGAAGGTTTTCGAGATAAACAACAACACTGAAGTGAATTCATTTTCTATTTTTCGAGTAAATTTGCAATTCTGCGTCCGATTTCAAATACATTGAGGATATAGGAAAAGATTATGAGCGATTTTTTGGTATAGGGTAAGAAGAGGACGATGTTCGATTAGCATCGCGCTTACGGAAACGACGCGGTTTCGGCTTGCATTTGTAAACAGTGCCACGATCGACGAAAAATGTAGGATCATTTGCCGCAGTCTCAAGGTTTTTACAGATTTCTTTAAGAGATAGTTACGCTGCAAGCGTGAAGAAAGGCGACTCTTTTCTCAGTCGAAAGAACCGCTGCAAGAAACAACTAGTTTTAATTTTAGTGACTAAACGTCCGGCAGCCGGACACGGTCTTAATAGCTTGGCAGCACCCTTCGCAAAGGGACCGAAGGTTGAAGACGGACAATCCTAGGCCTCTTAACCTAAGTACATTAAGATAGTGCAACTGGTGTTCTGTGAGAGCTTTAACGGGCGGCACAATAGACATAGTGACGGGTTTCTTGTAGAGAGGAGAGGCGATCGATCACTGGCGCTGCATGATATATTAATGATTTTCAATGGCCAGTTGGTGACGAAACGGAGACATCGTTACCTTCGAAAAACATATCTATGGCTTTCTGCTGTTTTTCTTGAAATGTCTCCATCCCAAAAGTTGCGCAAACTTGCCTTAGAACCTTGTCGTAGATCATTGTTGTTTGAAAAGTTGACTATGAAGCATTTTGTTCACCATATGGTTCTTTAGTTTGAAAATAAATTACCAACTCAAGCCAATTAGAATTGACGAAAGACTCGACAAAAGGGGTTAACCAATAAAAAGTCATTACACATTTTCTTGTAAAAGAGTGACGTCACGGAACACGATTAGTGTCGGGTTTGCGTAGACGTTACCTCGCCTCCGTTTCACCTTGGCGGGGGGAGGGTGCGACTACACGTAGACTAAAAATTGGGAAGTAAAAAGTTGTGAGTGGAATAATCTCTCTGTCACGCGGAACTTACCTACACCGAAGCCAAAAGTAGTGACTAAGAAACCCTGAGAAAAAATATTTTTCATGACGTTTATTTCTAGATGTGAACGTGTTTTAATTCTATTTCTATCTATCTGTCTATCAGAATCGGGTTCTATTTCTCATATTTTCCTTGATTGAAATTAATTGTGGTAAACCACAGAAGCGAAAAGAGCATTTTACTCGCGCTGATTGGCTAGCTCTGAAATGACAGCAAGTACCACTCACTTCCGAGCAGCCAAGAGACAAAGTCAAATTCGCGCGTCATAAGTGTAATTTTCGGCGTGAGGACAGAACTAAGTTAAACTCTGTTATATGTACGTGGCATATAATTAAAATTATAATAATCACAATCTTAATCATGTTCATAATTATAACAATAATATCATTCTCCATACTTCCTCGTCTTTACATAGGGCCCGGTGATCCTCAGAATGTACAAGGTTATAACACCAGTTCCACCAGTATCCGTGTTACATGGAAGGAGGTGCCGGAGGACAAACAGCATGGTGATATAATCAGCTATACTGTTATGTACAAAAGGACGACAAATGTCACTTACAAGTCAGTAGAAGTTACACCAATATCTGGGAAATTTGCTGAATTAAACGGACTTGATGAGTACACATTCTACGACATCAAGGTTTTAGCTGCCACCAATGTAGGGAATGGACCAGCAAGTAATCCCATCAAAGTCCAAACAGACGAAGACAGTGAGTAAAAATTAATTAATTCATTCATTCCCTCACTCACTGATTCACTCCCTCTTTCGCTCGCTCTCTCTCTCACCCACTCACTTACTCCCTCCCTCGCTCGCTCGCTCGCTCGCGCGCTCTCTTACTCACTTACTCCTTCCTTCCTTCGCTGACTCACTCGCTCGCTCACTCACTCAACTCTGCCGATTGCTTTTAAAGATGAAAATTATTTAAAGTGTGCTTCATGAGACCACCTCAAAGGAAATTGTTAGTGTGACTGATTACCTGGAGAAATTCGTTTCTTTTGAAGATTCTTTACCTCAGTCTGAATAGGTAAAATGAAAATCCTGTTAAGTTCACACTAAAAGAAAAAAAAAGGTTCTCATTTAAGATATTTTTTTTTAAAATCAAATCTCGGGAAGCTCTAAATGAACACTAACTTTAGTTATCTTACTTTATCCTTTTTTTCGGGCAAGTTTGATTATCCAGCTTTATTTCAAAAGTTAAATAGCGTCAGAAATCGAAAATCTCGTAGTTAATGGGGCGCTATGGCGCTATTATCGTCCCTTTTCAAGAAACTTAACACCTCGAAGAGGCTACTGTATCACGTTTTCTTTGCAGTTACCCTTCAAACGAAGTCTATAGCTTATGAACATACTTTTTTTCTTTAACTTCTAGTTACCACTCAAACATTGAAATAACGTTTCCTTAACGCTCTCTTGAGAACCTTTTGCATCTTCTGATTTGAAGGATGAATTAGGTTAACCTTAATTGTCAATGTGACAGTCTGACTAATGACCTTAGAGAAGATTGAGCTCCCAAAAAGTTAATTTTTGGCTGAAAGTCAAAGTGATTAATCCAGATATGAAACCGGATTTGTTGTGCGTATTGCAATGAAATCTCTTAGCATGTCTCTCTCGGGTTAAGGCCCACCTTTGACTAGGACAAACGTTATGTTTTTAGCATGCCCAAAATGTTTTGATCTAATGTTCTAAACCGTGTCAATCCTCGCCATCTTTTATTGTTTTTCTCCGTGGTCTTTTGTCACCCTGTGGTGTTTGTCTGAAGCAAACATATCTCTTTCAAAGTATCCGTTAATTTGCTCAGTAAATGGCTTTCATTATCGTAACATAACACCGTCGACACGGTGAAGATATGAAATAATAATTTTCTTGCCAATGATTTTCAGGGCCCAGTGCTGCCCCTCAGAATTTGCGTTCAATCAATACGACTTCAACAAGCATATTTGTAAGCTGGGATGAGGTTTTACCTGATGAACAGAATGGTATCATTATTAGTTACAAAGTCAGTTATCGCGCGATACCAGAAGCTGGATCTGCTGGGCCATTTTATTTCACAAAAGTTATGGCTCCTTCAAGACAGGTAAACCTGACCAGCCTAACAAAGGATATGCATTACAATGTCAGTGTGTTGGCATCCACAACCAAGGGCGACGGGAATTACAGCGACCCAAAGACGTTGAGGACAAACGAAGACAGTAAGTCCTTCTTTTTCAACTATGCGAACTTTTAAAGTAAACTCGTCAGAAATAAATACAGAGTATTTTCTGTCCTGATAATCACCATAAGCAAATCATTCTGCCTCTCACCCCTCCCTCATTACTAATAGACTTCATCCCACCCCTCCCTCAGTACTAATGGGGTGCTCTCTCTCTCTCTCTTCCCCCTCCCCCCCCCCCATTATAAATGGTCCAAAATATGGTCTCTTTATGGGTTCCGTAACACCCTTAATGTAAGGAATAACAGCAAAACCAGTCGCTGGTTCTCTCTCTCATCAGGAGTGCTAATTGTTGTAACCGGTTTTTGGCAGTTACGGAGAAAGGCTTTTTTAAATAGCCATTCGCCTTGAGGACATTAGAAACATATTTCCTCTCCTAATCATTCGAATCGAGTGAAGATGGTAGACAGTCAGCTCTCCTGAGTAGAGTTTTGGCTACAGATTTTTAAGAGCGCTTGTCTGTAAAAATTAAACATATCGCGGCAAGGGCGGAAAAAACGATTTCTTTCTTATTTTAATGTTAGATAAGCTAGGCTATAACTAAAATCACTGGATACTTTTTTTGGCAAAATATCTTTTTATTTCAGAGAAAAATACAAATAACGAAATGCCGTTAAAATCGTAATTTTTAGCAGCAAATTATTGCACGAGTTTGAGGGCTTCGTGTGCAAAAACGAATCACTATCTCGTCTTTTAAACACTCAAATCTTCTTTTTCGATCCCATAAGACCTCACAAAATGATTTTTGTAAACATTGCGCTCTTCTTTGCCCTTAAAATAATTTAATTTCGAAAGCATGCATTTCTCTTCAGTAAAAATACTTCGTGAATAAAATTAATTTTCACCATGTGCTAAACCTTCAAATGGATTAAGCTTTTGGTGATTGAATTTCGAAAAGATGTTCTCAATATAACTGTAAAAATTTGTTTAGGCAAATGATTGAGAACGATACAAAAGCTTTTCAAAGTCCGTTAAAATGCAGTTGTTTGACCTTTTGCGGTCAACATTCCAGTCGCCAGTCACACATATTTTAATGTTTCAACCCATATGAGGCCGAAAAATGTACATAGAAACATATTTCCAAATGCTCAAACCTCATTTGCCGCAGAAGACCGATCTAGAGACCATTTTAGTGTGATTCTCTTGTCGTTCGTCGTATTTAGGTCTGTATAAATGATAACGTCCGATAAAACCACCAACCCTGTCGAACACCATCTTGTTGTCAAACGTTCGATATCTTTCTTCACTGTGGCATCTTATTCAACGGTTCAGTTGACTGCGAGTATTGCTCAGTTTACAATGCACTAAAAGATTACATCTGACAGTCTAATTACTAGGATACCTGTGGTAGCCCAGTCATAAAATGCCTTTGTTTTTTGTCATCTTTTTTTTTTTTTTTTCCTCCGCCACAAAATGGAAAAATTGCGCAGTAGTACCCAGTGGTCATTGGGCCCTCAACACCGTGACAACTAATTGCGATCCAATGAGGGTGAAGGTGTTCACATGCTGATCACGTGTTATCTTGATGATGATTGACGTTGTCATGCACGGACAGGTCCGGGTCACATGACGAGCACGAGATTTTTGCTTAGAAAACTCTTTTGTCGGTCGTTTTGTATTTCAACGTGTTTGGATAACGATCACCTGAAGCATTACAGCGCAAACGCTCGAAATACTTACAGACGCATACACAAGTCGTATTGTTCGCGGCCAATCCACACTAAAAGATGTTATTGAGCGGTAATTTTGGACCGGATTGAGTCGCGAACTGTGTATCCGTTGTAGTTTCTGGTGATTTCTGCCGTTTTAAGCTTGCTTTACCATCACTGTTATTCACATCATCTACTTTTATTACGTTGGTAAAATCTGTAAAGACATCACACAAACCAACTCGCACACAAAGTAAGAAGAGTATATTGAAGGCTTGAAATTATGTTACGATCGATTTTCATAAAGAAATGGGCCAGGAATTTTCCACAATAGTGCAAATAATCGTGAAGGCTGATCGAGGAAAAGCGATTTCGTGACGCTCGATAAGCTGTAAGATGACAGTTATTATTTACCAGACGTAAAAACTCTTCAGATTCTCAGTCTGCATTTTGTACCCACTCTGCAGTCTCCAGTCTATATTTTGTATCCGGTCTGCTGTCTGCATTTTGCACTAACAGGTATCTGTGGCACCAATACAGTTTATTTTTGGTTACATTTATTCGCACAACACACATAATCTACCACAAAATACCTATGTGTGAGGTAATTCGACATTTTCGTTCTTTTCCACGTTAATACTCTTCTTTCATTTTGTAAGAATGTAGACCACAAGTAATCCAACCACCCTACAAAAAAATAACTCTTGCATGCATAGCATGCCTATGTTTTGAAATAGGTGTATGCCCTTAGCCAGACTTGAGCTCACTATTTCAGTATACTAATCTCACTACACTTGATTCCAAGGATCCAGTACCATCCAGGTATCCCAGTTACCCTGCTCACAGGGTCTAGTTCAATGCTAAAATGAGTTGACTACAAACATGTACGCCCTTCGAGTATTTAGGTTGTCACGCAATACCGGTGACAAAGGAACTTTAGGGGGTAGGTGAAGGGCAAAACTCCATATAATTAAGCACTATCAGAATTGAACTCTTGGAACCTACAAAATATCTCACTCTGTAAACATTTTTGTAATAATGTCATCTTTGTCTGGTTACAAACAGTAAAATACATTTATTTATTGCAGGGAATTATTCTTGTTTTTTGGCGCTCTGTGCCTTTCGTACTTATTAGGGGTGTTTTTCTTTCCACTAAAATTGCAAGGAATACCATAATAGCATGAAAGACAACCTTTTGTACATTTTTACAGCACCATGCTACAAAACACAGTGGTGGGGATGTGTGGCTTATGTGAGGCTGGGGTGCTATGTTCCGTGGCCAATGGGTGGGGCTTGCAAAAGGGAGTGGTACTATTAACCACTGTTAACAGACCCAACTACCGTTTAAAACCTTGAACTACAGAGGGGCCGACATATGTGCGCTCGGCACAAAATAAGATCGATCTCATCATCAGGACCAGTAAATTCGAAAGCCGACTTATGACTTGCGATATTCTTGGTGCGTGAAAGTAAAGGAACAATTTCCGTTTCATGCTTTCGATCGCTAGTGTTGTAACCACAAACTCCGCCAATAAGCGACTTGAACGAACAACAACCTTCCATTTTTTATATAACAAAGTTGACCGTGTAAGTTAGTGTACTTGTGAAAAATAAAGTAAACAATATTACGCAAACAACAGGCATCGTGTAATTACCATAAACCAGGTTTTGTTTACTTAGGCTTACTATTTTTAGTAGGTACTAAATTAAGCTTTTCAACGAGTATTAGCAAAGGCCCGATCTCCGCGACTTACATGCAAGGGATTTCGATGTTCATTACAACTAAAAAGCTGAGCAGCAGAGTGACGTCTTTTTACTTTCCCCTTCCCCTACCCACTAAAAAATAACTTTTCATTGTATGATTTGCATTGCGCGACGACTCTCCGTATACAACACTACGTTGAATGCAACATATGTGTAGTGCCTCGTTTAAAAGCATCGATCAGATCTACTGCACCACAAACCGAACAACACTCACAGTCACCTCAATCGCTGGATAAGACGTCACAGTGCATAAAGATGTCAAACGTTTTACAACGAAGGTTGGTGATACTTCGCAGACTGACAGGCAGTTTCATCGGACGTTATAAATACGACGAGCGACAAGATAACCACATTAAAATGGTCTTTGGATCTTTCTTCCACGGAAAATGAGGTTAGAGCATTTGGAAATGTGTACCCATGTACATTTTCCGGCCTCATATGGGTTGAAACATATTAAAATATGTGTGTGACTCGCGACTGGAATGTTGACCGCGAAAGGTCAAATAACTGCATTTTAACGGACTTTGAAAAGCTTTTGTATCGCTCTCAATCATTTGCCCAAACAAATTTTTTAGTAATAATGAGAACATCTTTTTGTAATTCTACCGCCGAAGGCTTAATCCATTTGAAGGTTTAGCACATGCTGAAAATAAACTTTACTCACAAAGTACTTTTATTGAAGAGAAATGTATGCTTTCGAAATTAAATTATTTAACACGCAAAGCGGAACGCAGTGTTTACAAAAATCGTTTTTTGAGGTCTTATGAGGTTGAAAAAGTAGATTTGAGTGTTAAAAAAACGAGATAGGGATTCGATTTTGAATGCGAAGCCCTCAAACTTGTGTAATAATTTGCTGCTAAAAATGCCGATTTTAACGGAGTTTTGTTATCTGTATTTTTCTCTGAAATTAAAAAGATATTTTGTCAAAAAAAGTATCCAGTAATTTTAGTTATAGTCTTGCCTGTCTAATATTAAAATAAGAAAGAAATCGAATTTTTCACCCTTGCCGCGAAATTTAGAATTTGTCTGATTTTTAGAGACAAGCGCTCTTAAGGCAAATAGGATGGTGAGAATCGAAAGCGAGGTATTTGTCGGTGTGGGTAGGTTTACGATAGACACTTGTCTCCAAGTTCCCCTGTTCCCCTCTGTACACATTTAAATCAAGAAAGGGCAAATAGCTATCCTTTCACGCTCAAGGGTGACTTTATCTACCCTCTTTTATGTATATTTTCTGTCAAGATCCTATCGCTCTACAGATTGGCGTTTTTGTAGAATGGGGACTGGACGAAAGTGCATGCCCACTGATATTTCTATTCCTTAAATTTACTTTTAGTGAAATTATTATTAACATTTTCCTTGTTTCTTCCCTTTCGCCTAGGGCCGAGTGGTCCTCCGCAGAGGGTACGAGGGGTGTTCACTAGTTCAACCTGCATCATGGTTAAATGGGATGTTGTGCGTGAAGACCAGCAACATGGTGACATCATTAACTATACTGTCAGGTACAAAAAATTACCGAATGGTAATTACAAGGAGACAAAAGTTACGTCAAGATCTGTTGAATTGAAGGAACTTGATAAGTTCACAGTCTACAAAATTGAGGTCCTAGCTACCACCAGAGTTGGAGATGGGCCACCAAGTGAACCCATCGAAGAAAGAACAGACGAAGACAGTGAGTAAAAATGGCTTTGATTTTTTTGCAGGCAGAACGCCGTGAAAGATATACAACTACGCTGTGTCCACCACTTTATTTTCTTCATTCGTTTACTCATTCATTTATTCATTTATTTATTTATGTACGCTTGTTCGATTTTGAAATTTCTTTTCTTAGATTTTAGGCCCTTTGTAAGTATTTTACCCCATCTTTATGGTAGACAGACAGAATTACATACTGAAATGTAGGAAAGTGGACAGGGATGTCCTAAAAATGATGTTATGCGCTAGTGTTGGAAATGAGACTAACAAGTCTGCTGTGTTCTAAAACTTCAGCTTTTACTTTGATCAACTTGTTCTCCCTCTCCCTTACACTGAACTACTCTCACGCTCTGGTCTTTCTCTTTTAAATATATTGTGATCCTATTCTTCTCAGTGTCTTAATTATTTATCACCTTATCGCGAAAATCAACCGGAAAATCAATTAAATTCAATAATCTCTGTCACTAGACTTTATGCCATACTTTCCTCGTATTATGTGAAAATCATGTTAATTTCCCTTTTTCTTCAAAAATAATATTTGTTGACGCTCTGAGCTACGTTCTGGAAAATAATGATTTTTCGCGACAACGTGGAATTTGCCCCTTCTACCATTATTTTGATTTACTGCATGGAAATAACCCAATCCCGACACGACATATGTTAGGATGATGTCATGTCATGTTCAAAACTAGAAATAATAACCAGTGATTGAAAACTGTTATTTGTTGCAGAACCTGAGGGACCTCCTCAATCAGTCACCGTAACGACTGTAGACAGCAGTAGTATCAAAGTGACATGGAAGCCGGTTCTTCAGAAATTCCGCCATGGTGTTATTACGCAGTACATCATACTTTACAGTTATTCCAGTGAAGGAAAACCATTAGAACACAACGTATCAGGAAAAGTTGAGGAAGCAGTTGTTGGAGGACTCAAGCAATCTACTAAATACACAATCCGTGTTTTGGCTGCAACCGTGAAGGGAAGGGGTCCACCGAGTAGTCCTAAATCTGCTACAACCGAAGGTAAGGAAGAAATTTAAATGGTTTCAAGTGGTAAGGGTAAGCGTAAAACGCTTTCCAAACTATTTTTGCATTCATAGCGGCAGTATTTTGGTAAAAAACACGGAAATTTCTCCTATACAATGAAAGCTAAATGCTACAGTTTTCACGGATTAAGAAAATGTGTTGCTTCTAAAGAGCACCATTTTGTATAATTCAACGAGGAGTTAAACGAAAGTGCATTTTACTCATAAAAATGTTTACTTTTTTACTACGTTGGTTGTTAACTCTGGATAAAGTAGACATAATGCTCTGCACGTTTAAGAATGGAACGATAAAGTATTTGATGCTAACCCTTAATATGTTTAAGCGCTTTTTAATTTCATTTTTTATTTGACATGGTATTACGAACTGTAATGCAGAAATTCTGCAAGGTTTTACGTCCAATGCTGCAGAAATTCTGCATGGTATGGTGTCTAATGCTGCAGAAATTTTGCAAGGTTTGATGGCCCAAGTGTGCAAAATTCTGCACGCCTTGACGTCCAGTACCGCAGAAATTCTGCATGGTATGGCGTCCACTGATGCAGAAATTCTGCAAGGTTTGACGTCCAATACTGCAGAAATTATGCACGCCTCGACGTTCAGTGCTGCAGAAACTCTGCATGCCTTGATATCCAGTACTGCAAAAATTCTACATGACGTCCACAGCAGAAGAAATTCTGCAGGCAAAGACATCCTGAATGAAAGAAAAGAAAGAAGAAAAGAAAGAAAGTTTTTTTCCTATAAAAAAAGAATATATATGTGTGTGTGTGTGAAAATGGTGGATAGTTGTTCGAGAGAAAATGGATTCCTGTGCATGGTAGTACGATCATGGTTATATTTCCTTCCCGACGAGAGTTAGAGGAAAATTTTTTAATCAAATATTCCTTGAGGTGTTGATGAATTGCACCAAACATTTTGATGTGAGCAGTTCTTTAACGGCAAGCTGTGTTGCAAGATTCATGATTTGTTGAGTGTGCCGATTATATTTTTCTGGATTGGTTTGCTCGGTGCTATCTCTAGATGAATGTCTGATTAAAATTAACTATGGACGATTTTGTGTATGTTTTCGATGCCTGGAGAAAGTGATCTTGAGTCGTCTGTGTTTGGCCAAGGACGAATTCAGATACCATCGTTAGCATGTTTATTTGATTTTGTTATCTGGAATGAATGATTTACGGAGCTAAGTTAATATGATGTGATTTACTAACGTCCAAAGTATATCAAGTCGAAGGAACAATTTTGGTCTCGGTCCGCATATTTTTTAACAAAAATAAACACATATCGCTTAAAAAGATGATGATACGGACCACGTGCAAAGCTATCGAATATTGCGCGTGTTAAATATTCAATATTGACATATCATTTACATCTACATCTACTTTTATTGCGTTGGTAAAATCTGTACAGACTTCACACCAACCAAAAAGACTCTATGAAGGCTTGAAATTATATTAAGATCGATTTTGATCAATAAACGGGCCAGGAATATTCCACAATAGTGCAAATAATCGTGAAAGCTGATCGCGGAAAAGCGATTGCGTGACGCTCGGTAAGTTGTAAGGTGACAGGTTACCACATACCAGACGAAAAAACTCTTTAGATTCTCAGTCTGCATTTTGTACCCACTCTGCAGTCTGCAGTCTATATTTTGTACCTAGTCTACATTTTGTATCCGGTCTGCAGTCTGCATTTTGTACTAACAGGTATCCGTGGCACCAATATAGTTCATTTTCGGTTAGTTATTCGCACAACACACACTATCTACGACAAAATACCTGTGTGTGAGTTGATTCGACATTTTCGTTCTTTTCCGCGTTAATATCCTTCTTTTCTTTCGTAAAAATGTAGAAATCACTTACAAAGTTTCAAGTAATCCACCCACCCCCAAAAACTAACTTTTGCATGCATAGCATGCCTATGTTTTGCAGTGATCATAGTCGAAGTAACAATACTGTGCATGCTGATGTTTTTTGAATGACGGGATAAACAAGTGAAAATAACTCCACGGTTGGAAACTAGAGGCTGTTAACGGAGGCCCATACCCGCCTCATTAAACAGAACTAATCATAAATCAGGCTTTTTAATCAAATGGCTAAAGTTGTTGAAAGGAAATTAATTTTCTTTTCCCTGCAAGAAAAAAAAATCGTTTGATTAAATTTTTGTACACATTCAGGATGGACTCCTGACACGTTTAAGATTCTTTTAAAAGTTTGTTTTCAACTTTTCAAAAAAATTTTGCTAAATTAAAGAAAAGATGGAAGTAATTCTGTCTTGGCATAAAGAGATCATCTGGTGCAGAAAAAGATGATCTGTTCATTTATAAAGAAATTTCAAATTAGACGACCTTGGAATGAGAGCGCTTAAAGCCGAATTTACATCACCATCACCGAGTGACGATATCGTGTGACGATAAGTTTTCGCCCCAAGACTGGAGGACTGACTCTTCGCGGACGGAACAATAACAACTGGGGGAACTAACTCTGTAGAAACGACTTGGCAGCGAGAACGGAAACTCGTCACGATTTCCTGGTACACGGAGATCTACTTCGAGCGAGCTTATACGGACGTCAAGGATAAGACAATCTTTGGTTCCACAGTACTTTTATTCTAGGTCAGGCCAACAAGCGACATGACCTCTAGCATACTCTAGTTTGTAATCAACAAAACTGTACAAGGTACTTGCTTAAGAAGTAACTGGTGCGAAGTGCTATTGTTACACAAATCGCAATATTTGAATAAGGACACAAAGGAGCGGAAAAAAGTCTCTTTGAAGCTAAACAAAAACTACTTAAATATTCCATCTGTTTCTACGACGGAAAGTATCTCAAAATTAAAAAGACGGATGCAATAAACTCTAGGCCATTAAAGTAGGAAACCTAGGTGCGAATTTACAGCTCTGATATAGAAAACAATACCTATCTTAATTGCAGTAGCGCAGCTCAGGAAATAAAAAACGAAAAAGCAATTAAAAGTTTCTGCTTATTTATACAAGATTGGTTTGGAAACCATTGCATGAAAAGAAATTAGATTTACGCGTTTAAACTCAGCTGCTATCTACCATGAAAACCAATGTTTCCAGAAAGACCATTAACACTTATATTTACCTAAAAAACCCATGTACTAGATGACAAAAGTGCCGACAAGCAGGTGCATAGTAAAAGCGAGTAATCGATAAAAATCCATTCTAAAAGCCACTGTGGTTTTTGTACATTTTTATTTAACTACCAAAGGAAAAAAAACCCGAATAACCGAATATTTCAAATGTAAAAGTATATGAATATATTTTTAAGATGTTTACCCCAAAACCCACGAAAACCCTAAGTACAATATTTTTGTGATATGTCAACAATTTACTTTTTCTGGTTATAACTAATTTGAATAATCAATAACATGAATAGAACAACTCGTTCACCATTCTTTACCGCTCAACCGGTCGAGTAAAAGAACGAACAAAATACAGAACTGGATCTAAACCGATAAACAAATATAGAATTTGCCCTAAAGCTAAAATACATAATTTTTTTCCCCTGACAATCGTCATAAATTCATGTGACAAAAATTTTTTTCCACGAAGTTACCTGTTCAGTAATTTTCATTTCAACTGACGATACAAGATTTCAGATTTTTGACTCCTCTTCCTTCTGTTCACAAGGCAATACGGTTCTGGTGATCAAACAGCATCCAAGAAAATTGCTCACACATAGATGTCTAGGTGTCATTTGCCTTGAAACAGACCAGTGAACAATTACAAAATTTAAGGTTTGTAAGGCCTCCTTCTGTAAGTAAGGATCTGAAATATTAAGATAAAGAGAAGTTACATCACGTGGACATTTTCAAAAAAAAGATGTATGAATTCATCAACACTATCTTGACTATGATTTGGACAGGTATTAGTGCAACAAGGCCAGCTTGACATTTGAGCAGATAATGTTTTACTGAAGTTTAGCTTTACTGAACCTTTTGTATAACCGTGGGTTTACAAATTGAAACACATCCCTTCAGTGAATTCGTTGGAACTAATTCGAGCTGAGAGAGGACAGGTAAGATGCGACGAATTTTCGAAAAATCAGTTTACACGTCACGTATATGAAAGCGAAAATTAATAATCTCTTTCTTGTGTGCATGGTTTTAGGGAAATCTTGAGGTTTTCACGCTATGAAAAAAAAATCAGGGTTAAAGTATACTTCAGGCTTAATACAGTTTCGTAAATTCACAAATAACGTTAAACTTTCTGTAAAATTCACGCGTCGCATTTTAACTTTGGCTTTCATCACACGTCACGTATAAGCCCTTGATGATGCACCAGTTTATTCATACCTTTAAGTTTCCTCTCAGAAGGTGATTCTCCAGAGGGTTCAGCAAAGGAATGTGATGACTTTTGCAAAGATTCCGCACCGATTATTTTTGGAGAAATGGTCAACTCTTGTTCCTGTTCTGTAAAGATACGCAGCTCCTGATTGTATCTTTTTAATGCATCATACTTCCAATATTCCCATTCCCCTTATCTTTCTGAGGCATTTGGCGCACGAGGAATTTAACGGACGCAAATCAGATGTGAGTTAGCTTAAAGGCCAACTTTTTTCAAAGCTGGCAGACCTATGAATCACGAACTTGTGCCTCCTCATCATTGCCGCTCTTGCGATAAAATTTAGGGAGCAATTATGAGCAGCGAAGAGAAAGGATCGTGTCTAAAAGTACACACGAGTGACCACGAATGATCGCGAGTGAAAAAGCGAAAAAAGTTAATCATTCACTAAAATAAAAATAATTGATAAAATAAGAAATTTTTCAATTTAATTTGAATTTTATGGGAAATATTAAAGGAATGTCCGATGCAAGTCCTGAACCGTGAGATGAAAGTGTAATGAAGATTCGAGATATTTTAGCCGGTAACTTGGGCATGTTCAACTTCGTAGTTTTAGTGTAACTTGAATATTGCTTAACGAACAATGAGTTGACGTGGCCTCGACATGTTCCCGGGGAACATGTCATGGGTCCTAATGGGGAACCCCTATTAATGGTCGATTGCTGCCTAAAATGAGGTCATTTGCATGACCATTACACAAATTTGCTTCCGGATATCGCGCAAAAGTATTCAACCAAGTTTACTCAACATCTTGCGACGATAAACAAGATAATATCTCAAATCACGGCTCAAATTTACATGTAGCATGTTCTAAGTTAGAGGAGTGATGCATCTTATCTCAGAGAATTGTCTATGATTTCAAATTCATTCTTAAACCAACAAAACCAAATTTGGCTTACCGTTAACAATTACGTGCCCCTCAGCGACTCAAGAACGCCATCTTCACCAGTAACATATGAGACGAAAAGATGTATTATACACTCCCCATAGATCATGACTTAAACAATTCCTTGAATGTAGGATCTTTTCATTTATGGGGAAATAATTCCGGATTTAGAGAGTCAATTAGAAATGGAAGGTAAAGTTAAAAACACCTGAATACAAAGTATCACATGCAGTCAATTCAGTGTCGATAACTTCTCAAATTTCAAGGTTGATAAGAGGTCAGACGTGTGTAATACATACGCATTTCAAAGCACTTACCTTATTGTTTTCCACGCGATCTAAACAGTTACTGTGACAGGTAGCGCGAACTTCAATCGTAATGTATCGTAACGATAAATGTAATTTAGTGTTATCAACTGAGTTGATAACGTAAATTGGCCACCGTAAAAGGCCTATTTACACGGTACGACTTTGTCGCATGCGACAAGCTTACGACAGGCCTACGACACGAATTGTATCGTGTAAATCAAACCTACCACTCGCTTACGACTGCCGTGCACGTCACGAAAAATGTCGTAGGATTTTAAAACATGTTTTAAAACGCTGCGACAATCGTAGCCGAAATTGATAGAAAATGACGTATTTTGTGACAAATTTCTACTGAGTAGGGGAGGAAGGTGAAATTTCCTTGCGTCAAAATGGCGGAGGAAGTCGCCTCCGGAAAGTCGAAGACTGCTTCCATGCAGTGCAGAAGAGGGTTAATTCAGACATTCTGATCGGTCAATAATCAAAGAAATTCATAGACAGCCAATCAAATGCGAGCCTTGGATGTCGCAACAAAACTTGAAAAATTGAAAATTTGCGAGCGAAACAATGGCCGGCGTTTTAGGTAGGTTTTCTTTCGCCACTGCGGCTGAAAAACATTTCAAACAACGAAAACACTGTAAAAAATCACTACTTTTTGGTTGTCAGTTTGGAAAAAGTGGTGTTTAGAGAAAGGAATTGGCAAGGAAATCGAAAATTACGAACCGACCCAGCTTAACAATTTGCTCGAGCGATCCGACGCCGAAATTAAAAACAAACATAGTTAAACCTCGAAAACGACGATTCCATTTCATCGAAAGTGATTCGGACACAGACTGAACAATTCCTTGAACTGTTTAGCCGGACTTTGAACTTTTTTGCGCCTTGAAGATGTGAAGATATCATTGCATGTCATCATTTTGATCGTACGCGGTTGTTTTGATCGAACGCACGGTTTGAATGAATTATTTTTGCACTTGATGCGCGCGCTTTGCTTATGCTTAATTATGATAAGCTATCTCGTATTTTTTCATGTTTATTATTAACACGTAATCACATGATTTTTCTCGTGCGATTTGGAATAAATAAGCACTTGTTAATCTTTTCAAGGTCCACAAATTCCACTCGTTCTGCGGGCTTGTACAATTTTGTTAGTCTTTAAAAAAATTACTTGTGCTTATTTATTCCAAATTGCACTCGAAATCATGTGATTACCTATACAAAACAACAAATTTTCAATCAATTCGAATAATTAAGTTATTTAGTACTTATGTCAATGAACAGCAACTTTAACAACTCTTTAGGCAATTAATCACGGGACACTATTTTCTTTATTTTCTCTGAAAGACGTCCCGTTTGTTTGGCTCACTCATTCAAATTCATTAAGACTTATCACGTAAGCCTTTAAAAGGTAGATCCCGGACAATTTCTGTTTTTTTCCGCCGCAGAAAAATGACCCTTACGTTTTGTTACTGTTAAGTAGAAACTGCTAACTCAGCGAGATTGTAACAGGTAAGCCCGACGTCAAAGACCTTCCTGAAAGAACCATTTTTCAAGTTGGCGATGTGGTAGTATTGACTTGTGAGGCTACTGGAGATCCTAAGCCTTCTGTTACATGGAGTAAAGATGGAAATACCAGTATACCACGGGCTCAATTCAGAAACGATGACCACATTCTTGTCATTCAAGAGGTCGCACGTAGTGACGGGGGCATTTATGAATGCACAGCGTCAAACATTTTTGGGCAACGCCGAACAGCTACAGTAGTGATTATCGCTGGTAAGTATCATCAACCGTGGTTTGACTGGTCACAAAGTGTATTTTTTTTTCCTTTATGCGAGCAGAAGCTAAAAGTGATCGATGGCAGATTTCATGAGTGAAAGATTGAAACCCAGGACCCCAAAACCTTTCCAATAACGGGTAGAAACTGTGCCAATCAGCTTTCAGAAAGTGGTAGAGGTTATGTATCAGACGTCTTCCTGTAAACTTCACCTACTGTTATTCGTTGGCTATTATAGACGTTGTATGTTACCTTTTTCCTCTTTTTAAACTTAGTGCCGCCCAGCATCATTAAAGACATTTCCCCTCGATCAGTTCTATGTGCAAAGGAAACTCCATGTTCTTTGCTATGCCACGCGACTGGTGACATTCCATTTAACTACTCTTGGACAAGGAATAGCCAGGCTCTAAATGGTCATAAAATAAAGGTCATGAACAACATTGTTATCATCACTCCTCTTGATGATCAAGATTATGGAGATTATGTGTGTCACGCCACAAACTCATTTGGATCAACAAGTTACAAAATAAGTTTGTCAGAAAGCAGAGAGGAAGTAAACAGTAAGTGGTGTCAGTGTGAAATACTCTGAACGAAACATTTGATCCTTTACAGTTATATCTGATTTCGGTACGTAGTGTTCATGGATACTTTATTACGTCAAATACATTTTACATCAAATGTTTGAGGCAGCTCTATATGGTTTTTTGACCGCGCGAGATCTGGGTGCGAACATAGCGCGAGCTCTGAAAAAGTCAACATACAAAACAAACGTGGGCGCTCGATACGATCGCACGATTTTTATCTGAAAAGGTGTGTTAAAAACAGTTTAACTTGATACAATTTGTATGTGATAGAATCTAGGGCTTCAAGAAACTACCTGTAATATTCAGAGGCCTTCTACGCTGAAAAGAAAACACCGTGGGAAAAATTGTAAAAAGGCGACAGATTCGAAAGCTTACGTATGCTCAGAGATAGATCTTAGCGGAGTTCTTTTCCATTACGTAATGTCCTAAGACAAAGAAAATAGGGATCTTTCGAACAAGATTTATCGCGTTTCCTTCGGTAGAATTTTCTGAGATTTGCTGGACTGTTAAACATAACTATGCCTTTCCTAATGCCTGTTGATAAGAAAAATTCATAAGACCAAATTTGAGATGGAGGAAGAAAACACAAAATTGCAAATAGCGAGGAAACAGCCGCTGCAACCCCTAATTTTTTTGGCTTTTAAATGATCGGCAGGAAAAATTTTACAAATTGTGAAAATTGTGAGAGACTTAAGCGAAGCAAATTGTAGGAAATCAAAGGCGAGGTCAAATTATCACTGGCGAGTGCTGCCCATCGTAGAGCGTTAACTTAATAACGAAAATCGTTTTGTTAATATTTACTATAGCGAACTGTATTCAGAACCTCACTCATCGCCTTTTGATGGGTTTTGGTGACCTTGGAAAGCGAAAACAAAAATTTTCTACAAAACATTAAGCTGGCACGCACGCCAACATGGAGTAAAAACCCTATAAAGTCTCCTTAATTTGATTTTATAATTATGTTTTTTTTTCTTATCTTATAGTGTATTGCCAGACGAATTCATACACCCATACGTTTGAAAACGAAAAAAAATTAATAAATAAAGCAAAACATTACGATTAAGAAACAAAATGCTTAATAAATGCAAAGCAAACAAGGACTCATAACAAAACAGAAATTAACAAACAAACACACAAATAACAGAATAAAAAAACAAGACGTTAGGCCAATATTTGCAATTAATTTAGATTAGAACATTAGGATCAAATAATACCAACCTCTATGCCACTGATGAATTGCCTTTTTTACCCAATTTGAATTCTGTTTTGACATATTTATCGAAGAAGGGTTTCATTTTTTTCTTTAAATGTTTAATAATCTTTTTCAACGTGATTTCGAGGAATTAGTTTCTATACAATGTACCTCTATTTTTCTGTATATTTTCTTTACTTCTTGGGCAGATGAACAGAGCATCTTTCGGGCTAGTGACATTGCATGGTCATGCATCGTTTTCGTGCTGCTTGTTTTGATTGGTGTATTGATATGGAGGCTTAGAAGAGCTCAGGCGAGCAACAGACCAGCTACTGCTAAGAAAGCCACTGTTACAGATACTGTTCAGTCTGTTTTTCCACTTGGGCAGCATGTGTCAGAACCAGCTTCATATATGGAACTACGACCCAGGCCTTCGGATGGACAAACACGAGTACCTCCTGAATCCCAGTCCTTACAAGGGAGCCACGTGAACGCTGGGTATTACAACGTGGTTCCCGAAGAAGGGAACAAGAGGGGATCAAATGAAGAAATATATGAGGAGATAGAGCTTTCTGATTGTTAATTTCTAGGTTTTTAAGTGAGTTCATCGTTACACAGTCGCATATAGGTATACATGATAACAACAATGCTGTAGCTTACTCGCCAACCACACGTCAGATAGGAAGGTGTTGTTATAAAATATAAATGTGCTTTGCCTCTACAGTGGATGATTGCACAATATACTAAATCCGTTTGAAAATTGACTGTATGTTCTGTCCGTACAATACATTCCGAACCGTCGTTTTTCCAATAATGGATAGGGGATAAAACTCGGATCGCAATTTACAACTTTGAACACGAACTCGGTTAGGGAAGGGTCATTATTTATCTATTGTAAAAACTTGTTTTAATTTACTAGGCGTTTCTTCTAACAATAGCAGACCTCGTCAGGGAGTTTTCACAAGTAGGAAAAATAAGCTTGCAATTTATATATACCAGGTAAGTTGTCTTAGTACAAAAATAAATCAAGAAAGGAAATGCTATTCTCTCTTATCTCATACGTAAGCTTAATGCGATCATTTTTTTTTTAAGAGAAAAATTCGATAAGGGTTTCCATAGGGCCTGCCCAGATACCAAATACGTCATCCAGAAACCGCTTGTATTGCGTGACGTAAAGAGAGTATTATGTTACGACATCTTTCTCGTGCATTTGGCAATACATGACGCATAGCGGGGTGCCCATCTCTTCAATTTTTGCTCCCTTTTTTTTTTCATGGTACCCCAGGAAGTAGGAAGTAGTGGCTGTTTTAAGGGGTCTAAGTCTGAGGTGAAAAACTTTCATTTTCATCCAGGAGGCATAGTGAATCAATACCAGTTATCTTCCGGTTTTAAACAATATACATCTTAGACAAAGTCGCTTATGGAAAGACTCATAATGAGACCTTCTTCTAGGGTCCCCAATAGGGTTCTTCAATCCCGCGATCCCGACTAAAATTTTCTCTCAATCCCGCATCTTGCTCCCTTCTTAGTTTAAACTCCCGGATCCCGGCCTTTAAATAAGCCCCATTCCGGATTCCGAAAAACCTGGTGAAGACCCTCTTCTTTCGCTGCTTTTTTCTGGCTCCAAGTGAGCATAAAAGCGTTTACCTGCTTATAAGCGTATGGATAAACCGTCGAAGATATAAAGAAATGGCATTAATTCCAGTTTCCGCGGAATTCCGTTGGTAAACAAAATAATTGACGGTTCAAACTCTGAAAGGAATGTATGTTTGAGGATTCAAGTTCCCATGCGGAAATTGATAAGGTTTTCCATCAAAAAAATGCATTCGGAGACCTAACAATCTACATCCTTAACAGAATTCTAAATGCATCAGGATTCCTTCATTATATTGATGAAGATGAAGGTTTATGATAGTTTTCGATTGAAAACATCCCGAATACCGAACTCCGAACTCTACGGAAATGCGTGACCCATTAGTCAATAGTTATTTAAGACACGTAATTGATACCTTGCAATGATCATCTTATTACAGAGAAGTGTCGGCATAGCGAGGTTTATTTTATCGACTAGTCGCTTCGTTATGTTGAAAAAGGCGACATATATTCGCTTTAAAGCAGCCTAATTGATGTGAAAGAGAACAAAAGACATCTTGTGTAATGGAGGCAGGTTCACTTACAATCTATCTGTGCGCTCTTATCATATTTTCTGCCGAAGGTAAGGTTTACAAGCATCTCATTGTTAGAAGCTATTTTATGCTTGTATGTATTGACAAAAGTGAAATCGTGACCTGACGAAAGAGAAACTACCGAGAAGAAGCTTAAAATTTGCGCTGTTCAGACAAAAGATATTTCTTATTTCTGATACTGAGAGTTTGATTCAGCTTGGATACGTATTTGAAAATCTGAAAGTTTATTATGGTCGTCAACGAACTTGTCGGAATTGAAGTGAACATGTCAACGACGACTGTAGAGAAAATAAGGCACCCTGCCATTTCAAACCGTGTATCGTGCGTTCATGATGTGAGGCTCGACGAGAAAGCGGCGGCTATCAACTATCATGAGAACCGTATGAACTGTGGGACAGATATAAACAACCCAACGAGCAATGCATGTACGTGCCTAATGTAGAAAACATCGAAATCCATCGCAAAAGTGAAAGTGGTTTCTACGGAATAAAACATTGTTGGTGAAAGTTCAGGCTTCTTAAATGTATCGAAACCAGAAAGAGGCCATTTTTTCCACTACGTCGCGTACAGTTACGAATCTGAGATGTTGTGCTACACAAGCGTCATTCGAGACATCCGTGTTTGCGCGTGATAGTCATGTGGATTAAAGCAGTTATTTACTGTCTGTTACAAATTATTATGGCGCTTTTGGTGACAAACAGCTCCTTCAATTCGTTTGATTTTCGTTTAGTAACATAAATTTATTGCATTCATTGGTGATTCATTTTTTGCCAATCGTGACCGAAACTGCAGGACGAGGAAAGAAGATGAAACAGCAAGTTCAAAACATATTCTGAAAATAGTTGAGTTTCTTGTCTGCACTGTATTTTCACAGAGTGAGCTACAATGCACCCATAATGAAGAGAAATAAATGTGATATCGCACGAGAAAACGAAACGCGTTCTTCTTTAAGGAATGATACCAGAATAACATTTGCCTGGCAGAAACTCGACGACGTAGTATTTTGGATGTTGTCTTCTCACAATCCGGAAAATGTTTGAGAAAGACAGCGTGTAACAAACTAAAAATAAATTGTATTTTCTTAACCAACACAAGCTGTATTGAAATTAAATCAGTTCAAAACCTTATTCCCAAACTAAAAAACATAATAGTTTTTTCTTCAATGTAGGTCAATAGCGTGCACAGTAGGATTATGAAGCACGCTCGCGCTATTAAATTTAGGTTACTAAATCTATCTGTGTCATATCGTGAAATTGCACTGCGAAGAGGATATTAGTTCAACGTCAGCTTTTATTTATGATATAATACATTTTCATCGTTTGTATTATCAGGTGCACCGAAGTTCACCAAAGAACCTGAAAACCCAACAAGAGTTGTGGAAGGTGACAACATTACCCTCGAATGGAGGTATACATTTGGCGAAAGTGAATCATTCCTTTCAATGACCTTTGAGAAAGGTTGAATCAGGATGGTGACCAAGTTCTTGAACTCACTTTTTATAGCAAACTTGTACGAGAGTCGCTTACGCGTGTAACGATAGGATTTTTAGTTATCGAGTTCTTTCATGCTTGCGCTTAAAAAAATACAATATTCAACGTAGAAAGCTTAGTTCAGCAAAGTGTAAACGCCATCAGTTCTCCTTCAGTCACCCGTAAACAGTTATTATTAGTAGATCCTCGCAGCTAAGAACACTACTGAAACTAGTAGTTGTAAGTAGGACCTGAAAAAAATTTCAGGCCCGTACGGGATTTGAACCCATGACCTCTGCGATACCGGGGCAGCGCTCTACCAAATATGTGAATTTTCATATATCTAAATCTTCATTCACTTGGATGTTTATTTGTACCCAATTCATTATCCAGCTCCCAGTTGGCTTGTTAGCTCAATTGGTAGAGCGCTGCACCGGTATCGCAGAGGTCATGGGTTCAAATCCCGTACGGGCCTGAAATTTTTTTCAGGTCCTACTTACAACTACTAGTTTCATTTTAACTCACTGCGTTCGCACACATGAAAATTAGTTTCTAAACCGTTATAGGAACTTGCACAACACGACAACCACAGTCAAATGGGTTGGTAACTCACGGAGAGCCAATATAAGCTTTATTACTGTATTCGAGCACTATGTGTATAAACGATCACATTGCTTTTTGTCCCACAGAAATACGATACGCGAAGCTATATCCTCATTAAGCTAGTACATTGCACAATACATATGAAACGGTTAAATTATAGTGAAAGCACTGATTATAATCATACAAAACTAGGCTGTAACTAAAAGATAGCAAAAACGTTCGCGTGTCCCATCACGCGTGGAAACTTAATGATAGCAATTAAATACCTAGGCTAGGATGAAACCGAAAGCCGTGCAGATATATCTTCTTGAATATACAAGTCCTTGGCGTAATCGGATTTCCACCGCCCGTGTAATTTTAATAACCTGTCTGATACAGGGCCGCTAGGTGAATTTACGGCAGTGGTTGCCCCACCAGACCTAAGACTGTGTAACCCAAAAAGTTTGGAGACGTAACCTAGAGCCTTGAGAGCTTCCAAAAAGATTTCTCGACACCTAGAATACGAAATTCCTTTGTTCCCTAAAACGTAACTATTATAATTTTTCTGAAATACTAACTGCCTGATTAGGAGACCGTCTGCATTATGGTCTATTCTTGCAGCAGACATATACCTAAGGACCATATGAACTGGACAAGTGGCATTGTCCGTTCTAGCAATTATAGCTTTATTACCTTCCCTGTAGACATCTGTTTTACTACTTGGTATAACAATGGACATATGGTCATCTGCGAAAGTTATATGCGAAGCTTTGATATTTGCTAACTCATTGAATCTGAAGAAACCTGCAAAACCTAAGAGGACTATGACTGATATTCGCAGATCTTTTAGATTAGCGTCTACCTTGCCATGTTTAGTAACTATTCTCTTGACCATATCAATAGAGAGAGGGAGCTTCCTATTTTTCCGTTGTGTGCCATTACGTTTCGCAGCTTCAACAACATTTCTACACACTCCGGTTTTCAAAGGATTATTACTACAAGTTACGTCTACTACATCGTGTAGCCAAACTAATGCAGCATAAGCCATACTAACAGTGCTGGGAGAACCAGTCTTCCTGTGAAGTTGAGACAAATAGGCCGCTACAACAACAGGCTCTTGTGGCAAAACGAATTGAGCCTTAACATCATTGCACCAACGCATAAATTTTTGACACTCAAGTAAATATCTATTCATCGTCGAAGGTTGTCTGGCCTTAAACTGATCAGTAATGAGGCGCAGCTTGAAGGGAGCTAAAGATCCATAGAGACTTGCCCAACAGGACTGAGCAGAGATGGCCTGTTGAGGAAAACAAAAGGAAAAAACACATAACAGAGGGGTGTAGAGGTGGAACAATCTTACTCACTGATTCATGGCTAAAAGGGAATAAGTACTACAACCCGGGTGCTATTAGTTCTCAACACCACTACATTCATTAAATGAAGATCAAAAAAGGGCAATAAATAACACAGCACTATTGGAGTGCTATTCGTTGTCGACACAACTTCTGCACATTGACACTGGCCGAAAAGAAATAAATACCTCAACACTGGTAAGGTGCTATTCGTTGTCAGCACATCTACCTCATATAGAATGATCAAAGTGAAATAAATAACGCAACACTGCCAAGGTGCTATTCGTAGTCAGCACAAATTCCACTCGCTAGATCGTGGCCGAAAGGCCAACCTTTCAGATTCTTACCCCGAAGGAACGAAATTCAATCTTAAAGCCACTACATATCC